TGTTTTGTTATAAGTGATAAATATATTTGCAGCTTATATGTGTTATGTATTTGACTGACCATCTTCACCGGAATATGAGCCACTTTCTGAATATTTAAATACATTTTTATTTACGGTGGGCTGTTCATTCCCGTAGGAGGGGGGGTAGGGAAATCACTGCCACAACACCACTTTTAATGCTACCATACGTATATGGTTACAGTTTCAAAACATTGATTTCTCGGTGGTGGATAAACACATTCAGCCCTGAACTGAGATTTGCTCGGTGAGATAATTGTTCTGGTGTTACTATTATTTCGTTATTTTCAAAGGATTAACTTTTATATTCTCCGTCTACTCCAAGGGGCGCAAACATCACTTTCAATGCTACCGTTCTTATATCGTTACAGTTTTTTGGTACAGATATGGAAGAGGGTAAACACAGTCAGTCCTGAAGTACGATTTCCGCGGTGAGATATAATTGGTTTTCTGACATTCCCGAGTGGGGAAATATTCCCACTACTGTGCGAGCAAAATGTTTCAAACCTAAATCATAAATAAATATTGTGAAAATTTAGGTTTCTATTCCACTGCTATTTCATTATCAACTTATCTTGAACTAACTTATTCATCGAATTTGAAGGAAAAGAACTTTTCCTCAATCGGTCTGAATTCTGATAATTCAACCACGCCAGGACGTGCACATCACTAATTGTATAATTAGTGCTGTTCTGTTTATGAAACTTTGTTAATTTAAATGAATTAATTTTTTTTTATCCGCCTCTAATTCCTAACCGTCTCTTGCACTGTATAAACACTACAAATGCATTATTTGAAAACCAAATGTGGTGAAGTTATGCTTTTTCTGCTGTAATATCTGTTATATTAGCTTCACGACTAAAACTTCAGCAATTATTTATTTTCAGATACTACCATGCAATGAATAGAAGAAGAATAAAGACTTTTATAGTTCATAGGATTTACAATATTTATAATAAAAATATTACATGGATTTAACTCGCATTAAAATGAATACATATACAAACTTTATTTCGTGCTCAGCAATTGTTATCTATCTTATAGTAGTGGTATTGGGCACAGTCAATATATAATAAAAGTTTGTTTTATGGTAGGGAACTAGCCTTTGTCTTTTTGAATTGGATATTTTTTTGAATTCCATATCTAGCAGTACCTTGACAGTTTTTGACTTGTTTCAAGTTAGGTAACAAGCAGTAACCACTGATATATTTATCGAATAGATCAATCAAGATACATAGCCTTTATGAAAAGAAACCGTAACCGATCAGCAGTTACTCAATTACTAAACCAGCCTAAGGCGCGATGAGGAGTAGTCCAGCAGACCAGCAATCCTTCGTACATAATTATCCCCGTGGAATTCGATCCAGCGAGAAGCCGATAAGACGACCTAATTAATCATTTGTGTACTATAGCATCTCATCCGGTTACCAGTCCATGACCGGTATGGTATTAGGTAAACAGTTATTTCTTTCAGATACACGATCTTGGTAGTGAGGGAAACCGTAACCGATCAGCGGTTGATTGAATACGCATACCAGCCTCCAGCGGTGAGAAGTCCGGCAATCTTCTCGCACATAATTATCCCCCGCGGAATTCGAACCAACGAAATAACCCAGCGCAATGAGAGGCGCGTGGGCAGGCGTACCGTATTTCCTAATCGCGCTAAGCACGATGCCCAATCACCGAGTCTGGTGACTGACAATAATTAACATCATTACTGTAACAATATATAAGTAAACGTTTATTTCATCTCCATAATCAGCATAAAGTAAAGATGATAAAATAATTATTGAAAACCAAGATTACAAACTGATTACAAAATCAGAATAGCAAACAAAATCTCAAGTAATGTTTAAAGCGTACAAAATGTGATTTGGAAGGTTTTGCCAAAGGTAAGTGGTACGTGTTATCTCACATATGCATATTAAATTAACACACACACAACCACATAGAATAAAATAAAAATATATAAGAAAACTTGAAATAAATAATTTGGTACACAAAAAAATAGAAAAATAACTATACGCATAAATAATTAAAAAATTCCTGCCCCACTTTACCAATAGTTTTAAGGTTGCCAAATTTTATACGAATTAATTGTTGACTGAATTATTTCTTTCAAAATCGCATTAGTTTATTGGTCTTCAGATGGTACAGGTTAACGAAGACGAGTTGAAAGGAACCTTAAGTTTCAACTAATGAATGGTCAACTAAGAATCATTTATTGTTACCCGAAAACTTTAGTCTATAACAGTGTTTCCCTACCCGAGTCCGCGGTCTCAAATGAGTCCGCGGAGCGTTTGAATGAGTCCGCAACGAGCCAGAAATTTACTGCGGGTCGCAAACGTTTTTGCGAAACTTAACTATCAGCCAAGTTACGATTTACGTTAGAATTTACATAAAACATAATAAGCAAGTTCATTCACATAACATTAATCGAGTCAATAATTACTGGTTACTAAGTAGGGCTGCTCATATATTCGAAAATTCAACTATTAGAATATAAATTTACTATTCGAAAATTTAGTAACAAGTGACGCGACGGGTCACTTGCGCGCGCTTAATCAAACGATCGTATTTCCCAATTCATTTACGGATTTCCGACGAAAACACGAGTCTGCACACGCTTCGATAGATACCTAAATGGTGTTTCGCGAGTTCGAACAATGAGGAATATATTTTTTTTCTGATGCTGAGTGTCAAGGGTGGTAACCCAAATTTTTCAAATTGAAAAGCGGAAATACTAGAAATAAAACGGAGAACACCTTAAGTTTTGTTTTATGATGGTCCGCGATTAAAAACGCTTTTTTAGACACTACAGATCGCAAAATTTCGGGTGCTGCGGTAGTATACGTACCAGGGCATTTTCCCTCAGAATTCCTCAAGATTTTTTGAATTTTCCCTCAGGATGCCTCCACATTGGTACGAACAGCTCAGATTTGTCGAATTCACAAAAATACGAATCAAAACAAAATATAGTCAGGCACTTTCACGCATTTTTGTGTCCACGCATTGTCATGATGATTTCTGAGTAGTATTGCTTTTATTTCGTCAACACGTCCGCAGATTAAAATGATCACAATTAAATTAATATTAAAACAAGGCGATAAATGTGTATTTTTGATATACTAATATACCCAAAATATATTTTTAATAAGTACTAAATCAAGTTGCACTTTCTGGAAATTTATAGCAGATAGTAGGATTTTTCTAACGGCGATAACAAATTCGCAAGATCGCAAAAAATATGTATCCAAACTAAATATAATCGGGCAATATATTCTCACCTCATCATAGTCCCAGATTGCCTTGCCATTTTAAAGCAGTAATGCTTTCATCGAAGCAACCGCGAGTTACCATGAACACAATTAAAATAAAATAAAAGGACATTTTAAATTCTCGTCGTCGTCATTAGATTGAATATTGTGCGACAGAAAAGGCCATTTTATACACTAAAAAATTCAGCACTTTTAACAAACGCGTAATTGCGGCGAATTTCCGGATTTATATCGGATCCCGCAGTAGGAAATGTGATGAACATTTCATAATTTTCTTAAATTTGAAAAAACATTCACTTCTCACTCATAGTCTGTGTCAACTTCAACAAAGACGAACAGGTAAAATCATTGCTATACCTTTTTGTTCGAAATGCAGATTTATGGAACGATTGATCATAGGATGTTGGTGGTGAATACTTACTGACCGAATATTGTATTGAACTAACAGATTAGCGATATCGAAATTATAATTGTTCACTAATTAAACCTAGGCTTTGAACTATTTCCCCCCAGGCTGGAAATTACGTGTGAGGAAAAATAAAAAGTGTCATTACTCGCCAACAGGTGGTTCACATGATTGATGTTTTCATTAAAAATCTTTATATAAACAAAATTCACCAAGTTGTTGTGGCGATCTATCTTTTAACAATAAGCATGATTTAAAGACTGGGCATTTTAAAAAGTTTGAGAACCACTGATGTAGAGTATACACTGACAGAAAACGAACGAGTCAAACGAGTATAACGACTAAAAAAATATTTGAAGAGAATAATTCGGAAAGTATAGAATAGCAATAGAAATTATAAAATCTATGGTTATCATCCCACACGTGGTGGTTTACAAAATATTACCATGCATATTGTTGAGATTTATATTTACTTGATCAGATCTATTCTCAAAAATTTTAGCCGCTGAAACTGGGCCTACAGACAATAACAAAATTATTCCACGCTGCCGATAAAGAAATAATTTCCTAGAATTAATCAGACCAGTCAACAATTTTAATTCACTATAAATGTGAACAGAACGAATATTATTTTCTTTTTTTTAGCGAATTTTTTGCCGCTATTCAGTGTATCATTCTAAAATTCGAGACATTTCTTAGACAAAAAAATTATGAATAACATGTGCTCCGCTTTTTTATTTTAAAGCTGAAATCTTCTATTCTAGGTCTATGAATTGTTTGTGAATCAATTTTCATTGTATATTTTATCGTAATAGATTTATTCCACCATCAAAAAGTGGTCGAAAAAACCTCGTGGATATTAGACAAATTTGGAGGAATGAAAGGAATCAATTGAATAAAAGGAATCAAAATGAATGGAAATGGATGAATGGAAAATGAAAGGAATCGATTGAAATATAAAACACATACAACAATATCATGAACGCTTTAGGTTCATTTGGTTGTGACTATCTTAAACTTTGGCCATCTTATCAGTATAACTACCGTAAATATGCAATATAATACTAACTCATTGCTGTCCTTAAATCTAAAGTGTTACGTTTATTAAGCAGTTCACGGTCTCGAATATTTAATCTAGAAGAAAGTATGTTGTGCATTTCTTAGCCCAACATATTCTTTCTATTTTTCGGCCGACGTTAGTTCTTTTGGAATGGGTTCGGTCCACCATTCGGAAAATGTGGAAATCAGAAAACGGAAATCTTGTAAAAATGGATCCTCTTGTTATTGGGACAGGAATCTTAGATGGAAGAGGTTTGATTATGGGAGTTTTGAGGCATCGCATTCTGAAAATACAAAAAAATTTGGCATTTGTGATAACAAAAGTTACTTTCAGTCACACTCAAAGTCACACTCAATATATATCAAGGGCTGTATCATTAATAGGAGACATATTCCTCGAACGAAATGATCGAAACGATCGATTGAAAAGATCTTAATGCTAACTCACATTCTTTTCTAATGCGCAAATATTGTAAAATCCACAACTACAAATACATTACGACCTGTCCTATACCATTGTTATCCGAATGCTGTGTTAATGTTGTCGTTTGGAATCAAGTACCCAAGAATAACTAACGCTGAAAGAAAATTGTCAGCAATGCCAGCATTGTTTGATCAGTGAACTAATCACCATGCTACTTATTATATAATAATTCGAGTGATAGTACCTTTGGGGTTTGTCTGCACTTTATGTTCTCATAGGCTGTTTTAAGATCCGCTCTCTTTGAATTCAAATAATTTGTAGTGGCATTCTAAATATGAGTGAAATGAGCATATGAGCGACATATAAATTTAGAAATGACAACATTGCGAGAAACATTCCATATTCAACCAATATTGGTATTTCCAAAGCAATTGGTCCGTAATTATGGAAATAGTGCTATTTTAGCCTCAATAACGTTTCTGCTATCATGATTCTAATATAGACTGTGAGTAGACCTGTAACTTTAACCCAACCAAGGAAACAATTCGGCAAACGATAGATAAAGCGTTCAAAAACGCTCAGAGTTCTACTTTAGAGTTAAATCTCTGAATGTATAAGAAATTGTTCATATTTACATCTCCATGTTCTTCAAGCCATGTTATAGTTGCATCACATTCTTTCACGATGAGTCGCTTTTGTTCCTCGTCGAGTGTACTTGGCGAAGCTTTTGCACGTTGCGTTATTTTGTGGATGTAGGCTTCTAAATTGTTTCTTGCTTTATTAAGCTGCCTCGCTTTCTCGTCTTCTTGATTGAAAACCACGTTTTCCTGAATCTAAAATGCATGTGTTAGTAATATTTAATATCAGGAATTTCATATAGCTCTATTTACAGCGAACCTTGGCTTTACGATACTTGACCTTTTAGTGTATATAGTTTAAAAATATTTATCTTCAAATTGTTTTGAAGGGCCCATAAGATTTGCTTTGATACCTCTCTCATTCGATCAGAATAAAACCATATAACGAAAAAAAAAAAAACTTCTTCTAAATTTCGTTGAATAAAAAGCGCGAATAGAGGTTATCACGTGTCACTCAAACTAATCAGGGTTGGAACCCGGCATGCAATCACACAGTTGTTCGTACGTTATAATTTTGCTTTGAATTTCGAAATTCTTAATCATAGTCAAGATTTTGATAAAAATATATAAAATCGTCTCTTACCATTGCACGTATTTCCGAAGTCAACATGTCTTCATTCTAAAATAATAAAAAATTTATGTTTATGCAATTGCGTTACGAGGATTAGCTGATTGCATTCGTCTCATTTCAAAACATTTTAGACTACCTCAGCTGGGCTACAGTTAATTGTACTTTATAGCAAATAAAATAGGATTTTTAGCTCTCACATAATCAATTTATATTATTGTAGTAGACAGTTTATAATAATGGTATTTGTGTCCTCAATTAAAGAATTGTAAATTTCTAAGTAAGCACGTGTATGCGTATCTTCATATCACATTTTTACTTTTTAAAATAAACTACTTTTTAGCTCCGACATAATTCCTTATTCATATTGTAGCACACAAACTATATAGGACCTATGTCTTTCTACTTCAATTAAAAAAACTGAATGTTATGGGCTCTACAACACCTGATTTTACGTTTATGTATATATAAACGTACCTCTGCAGCGGAATGCGCATTACTTTTAGCCTTGTTAAAGACTTGTTTAGCATAATAAGCAGCACCACATGCAATCGCCTCATCCGGATTTAGGGTTCTGTTTAACGCTTTTCCATCAAAAAATTTTTGAAGAAATTCTCTGATTTTGGGGATTCGTGTTGAACCTCCGACGAGTACGATGTCGTCAATCTGTTAAAGTAACAATCGCATCTGAGTCTCGTTGCAATTTTTACATGGCCAACCTTAACCAATGCGGGAAGATATATCACGGTAGAGATACAGATAATAACTGAAAATCAATATTTGGTATAATACTAAATAAATTTCTCCTTGAATTTGTTTACCTTTTACAAGTAATGCAATGAAACAACTATACAAGCTTGATTGGGCTTCCCGATTGTACTTTTATATCTTTATAAGTAAATATTTGATCAATTTAAATTCTCAATAATCGTACAGGATTCACTTAGTTTGATATGCTCGTGCCGCCATAAGGCGAGGCCTACAACACAATAGAATGAGATCGACCTAAAGCTGCTAGTACTATAGCGTTAGGCCTGTCGTTGGCATCCTAATTTCCGTCGCCATTACATATCACTTATTTCTGTACAATCAATTTAGCGACAAACACATAATTGACACATATGCCAGATACCTCAGATCGCATTTAAAAAAGATACATATTGTATTGAACAAGGGCTCAGCCTGAAATTTTCAAGGGCAGGGCGGTTCTGAAAATTTTAATTGACAATTTATATCGGAACAGTTAGCGGTTCCGGGTTTTTCCGAGTGAGTTTTCAAAAGTCTTGAGAATCTAAATGGCGTTTTAAGCTACGAAAACGAAATTGAATAAAAGTAATATATTTTACCTGGTTGGCGCCAATCTTCGCTTTTGTTAAAACATTGCGAAGAACTTGTTCGATACTTTCAAAACTATCTTTATTTATTTCTTCAAATTCGGATCTTCTAAATGTTCTGTTGTAAGGTTCATTCCCATCAATGCAATCGGCTTGGAGTCTGCAAAATATTAGGAGTTAGAGTAGTGTCAGGTAAGATTGAACAACTCAGCAGTTGTTTCACGTATTTGCTAAATATTTTAAACGCGACCGATTTATTAATTTCTAGATTACTCATACCCGTCATGGTTTATAACTACTTATCAAAATGTAGTATCTATTCTGCCGGCGAAACATATTTTCCTGGAGTTGGAATTTGTTTGTAAAAGGTTAAAAGCAATGTTAATATGTTTGACTCCGGTTGAAATTTTTTTAGAATTTTTTATCCCCATCTGATTACAATCTCAAATATTACAAAAGCAAAATGAGGAATTGTGGTATATGCAAAATTTCCCCCAAAACGACTCCAGAATAAATTTTTATTCTTTGACGTCATCGTAGTTATATGTGTACTGATTTCTATAACTTGTACCCTTGTATGTTCCTAAAATTTGGCATAGTTTTGTATCAAGCACAACTCGTTTATAATCTATCGCAATATTCTAAGTAATGAATGCTCTTGTAAGTATAATAAAAGCATAAATTATAATAGAGTATATCTTTAATTTTATTTATTTTAAATACCTGGTTTGCTTTGAAGCGGACAATGTTTTCTTCGCTTTTTCACAGGCCACTCTCAGTCGGAACATTCCCTTCTTATTACCAGAACATACGTTTAACTCATTCATGACATCAATGTCAAAATCGTCTCCTGAAAATCAATAAAACAAAGTAAAATACAAGTTTCAAACTTGTAACTTGAGACATATAGTTGTCATAAGAGAACCAAAACTTCAATTCTCAAATAAAGGGTTCAATAATATATGCACCTCACCCAGGGTGCAATACATTGAGAACTTAATGACAAGCCGGAAAGATTACAGCCATTCCAAATAACAGTATAGCTTCATACTTATTGTGATCAGTGTTTCATCTAGGAAAATGTTACACTGTTCAAATGTTTAATGAGCATGAATATTCTAAGACTGAGCAAAGTACACATTCAACTCGTAAACAAGGAATGTGCATTCTAGCTAGGCGTTATGAAAATATGACGAGCCACGCTTCAAAATGTTTCAAGTGAGCGAGGATGAGATGTTACTGCGCAATTGGCCTGGTGGTACTGCGCAATGGGGCAGTTGCGCACATTGAGGAGGTTGTGAGAGATCAGTAGCTGCTTGCAGGGGGATTAATACAGAGCGAGTAAGCACCGTATATATAAAAGATAAATTGCACGAAAGTAGAAACGTAACTGAATGATAAGCCTAATAGCTTGAATTTAGTTAATTATCGGAATTTTCTTACATCAACACTGAATATTTTAGAAGCAAAAAATATAGTTCCAGATATTTTGACAAATAAAACTTTTTATTCAATTTATTTAGGATTACCTATTAAGTAATAAAAATAGATGGCACATTTTTGTACTTGCTTTGTTTTAAGCTTATATGACAATTGAATTTTATTTTTTCGTATATATCCACAAAATAATATTCATTGTTTGTTAATCAATCGTTCTTAGTTAATTAATTTGAAGCATTTCTGTTTAAAGGAGTTCACACCACAATTGAGAATTTGCTATTGTTTTTTGAATCGCATTTCATCAAACATCAAAATCTATCTTCTTGCCTCCAAAATTAGGATTTCCGTGTGCGGTCAAAATCTGAACGACATTGCTTCCTTCAATAACGTAAATGGCCGCATCAAATTTCCCTCCTCCAATGTCGAATATCAGAACGTTATGTCTGTCAGACATCTGGTAAATGAAAATACAAAACTTCACAATTTTGCATATTGCGAGAAAGATATGGACAAATTCCTTTTTTTTTATAAACGTTAAAAATATAAAACGATTTAATGGCACTAAGGTGCTATGACTGTAATTGATGCCGCTGAAGTTGATAACATATACGGATAATATATGTCACTCCCATATGAGCACAGGTTTTCTGACATTCCGCTAGAAACGAGACTCGTTACAGATCATCCAATGTTGAGATTTAAGAAGGAGTTTTGCATTACGATTCTGTGAGCATACTGATTAGATTGGTTCAGGGGGCGTAGAGTTTTGTTTTACAACGGCCACATTCAGAAAATCATTAGGTCGCATTATGAAATTGACCATGACGTCCCATTTATAATTCCCATCTGTGCACAAAATGCTTTGACGGGTCGCCGGCAGTTTGCCCCCACTCGGAATTAGTATAAATTTTCGTACATTACGATTCTCTGCAAATGCCCTTGCTGCAGCCATAGGTTCGTCTATCAATCTGACATCCTTGAATCCCGCTATGAATCCTGCGTCCCGGATTGCATTGCGTTGTTGCTCATAATAACACACAGGAACTGATATGCAGGCGTTTTCGACATTTTTGTTAATATATTCTTCAGCTATCTGTTTCATTTGCTCGAATAGCATCGCTGCGATTTGTTCAGGTCGGAGACGATATTTCTTATTTCTGAAGGTTATCTGTAACGATTCAGTTGAAACCAATAGTGAATAAAATTTGAAATAGAATATTGTAGTGGTCCAGTGGTTCCCAATCTTTTCTGGCTTGTGGCCCCCACCTTTTAGTCCCCTGTTTCCCATTACAGTAGTGTTTATAGTGTTATTTATATTGATAGCTTCTGATTCTCATTATGTTCAAACATTCATGCTCAACAAAGTGAAAAACCTTTGGAAATATCCTTGTTAAGCAATGAAACTTTGAAGAACGGGGAGTTTTCTTGTCAAGAGCAAAGCAAAACCAGTTTTGCTCCCGGCATTATGGCCCTTGCTGGGAACCGCTGTTATAGTCTATGTATTTTGTTTCTTTACATTAGGCCTGCCGCCTAACTTGGACTAGAGTTTGCGCAATTGTGTTTTGTTCTTGACCAAATTCAAACGAAAGTCATAAATATGACTGGCTTAACATTAGATGGCCAAATTTTTTTTGATTTCAAAATGTAGCATATGTGGAGGTATTGCTTGTTAGTGGAATTTATATCCAAAACGTTTATCAAAGTTCCATCAATTTTTTGAATTTATCCTATCTTATTTATTACCCTTGTAGTGTTTGCTCAAATTGCTACAAGTCTCGCTTTAGAAAATATCAGTAATAAATTTATTAAAGATTATACGCTCGCATCTACAGCGTGTTAAAAAAAGTTACACAAAATTGAGGTATCATTTTTCGTCATGGCAACGTTAAAAAAGTAACGTCAGTCGTGAAATGTCTAAATGGCAGTTCATCGTAATTTAACACTATTAAAAGGTGTTAGCCGTTAAATGTTTCAAGTAGCATTTCATCTTAACTCCTGTTAATTTTGCGTTACTTTTTAACACCCTGTATCGATTAACAAACTTTTTCTACCTCAAATTGAAGTCATGGTTTTGATCGGATTAATATTCTTGAAAAGAAAAAAGTTACCGGTATTTGAAGATGATTGTCCTTCACGTCGACATCAAAGCCCCAATATTGCTTATATTTTTGTACAGCTTCGTCATCGTTCGTTCGACCTATGAGACGTTTAATTTCTGGGATGGGATAAAAATAGATTAAATTATTTTAAAGTGTAACCTTCGAACGTAGTCCACAAGTCCTATTCCCAACGTGTTTTCTATCTCTACAGTTCCTTGGTTGGAGCGAAAGGTGCGAGTAAGCGTCGTAAAAAAAGTGTCAACAAGGTAACCAAAATACAGATTTCATGACCAAGAAAATCAAAACTCACGATATACAGTATTCTTTAGATTAACTGGAGCTTGGTTTTGCGCTGAATCTCCGAACAACCTTTCATCTTCAGTAAAGGCGACATATGAAGGTGTCAGTCGACTGTCGAGTTCATTCGATATGACTTCTACCTGAGTAGTGATAAATTCGTAAATCGGTAATATAGTAGAAAATAATAGAATTTTAATATGGAAAATTTAAGAAAAATAAAAAGAATAACTAAAACTAAAAAAAGACTAAAAGCAAGAAGATCGGAATATTTACATTAATTAAAAGAGGTCTGGGAATATAATAGAATATCCGAATTTGACGAACAAGTAAAAAGAACTCTTGAAAATTAGTTGTGGCAGGGGATGATTACTAGACAAGAATGTCAGGTTGAGAGTAGACAATCTTTCGAAGAGAAACAGGGGCAGCGATGGGACAAGTAGAAAAGAAGTAAAAGATAAGATGAGAGAAAGGAGTAAAAACAATGAGTTGAAAGGCTGTAAGAAATTAGAAAAAGTGCAAAAATAATTTTGATAAATAGGAGACAAGATCTAGATCTAAAAGAAAAATAACTAGAAATATAGAATGGACTGAATAACTTACTTTGCCATCAATACAAGTAGCAACGCAGCAAAAAGACGTTCCAAAATCAATTCCAATACTGGCCATAGTTTTCTTAAGTTGTTAATTTCTAAAAGCCAGATAGTGATGTGTGAGAATTTTGATGACCTAAATTAACATTACATTTAAAAGCGAATTGAATTTCAATGAATTTAAATACTCAGTCTTACGACAAGGACTGTAGAACAAAATATTTTTGTCTTGTTTGGCATAAATTTGTGTTAAATTTAATGTCTTGAAATGCTGTGTTTTCCAGTGGTCTCAGTCTCAGGCTGGTGGGCATTTTTGGGTGAAAATTTCACGTGAGCTTTAAAATGGTCATATACATATATTGCATTTAATTAGTTGCATTAGTTGCTTTACAATTTACCAAACAAATATTAATACGTGTAACTTGATTTAAACGGATTTGCTTGCTTACTGTTATCGGCCGCATACATCCACCAAACATCGATATTGTTTATAATCATTAGAATATGAAAAAGATATTGTAATTACTAGCAAAGACTTAGTTTTTTAAAGTTAGGCAAAATTAGATATATTTGTGGTTAAAAGTTGAAGTTTATCTATTCATTGTTCAATCCTTGGCGTGTTACTTGTTACTTGGAGTTACTTGACCTGATTTATATTAGTACGCATGATTGCCTTCCATTATTAATAGGAAAATATGGAAATCTCAGTAAACTCTTTCAATTTTTGTCCAGCCATTACAATGTGAACATGCATCTGAAATTTTATTATTTTCGATCAATGATGCTAACTTTTGCCACAGCGTCGCTCTGATCACCTTTACTGTCTTTACCTGTGGCTCTACAGCAAAACCCTATGCTAGGTATCACCATTTTTAGCAATCACTGTTACATCTAACTCTTGTATGACTAGCACTAGTGCATTTGAGCTTTCGCGATAAACTGTCCCGACTCGTTTCAATAATAAACTTACTATTTTCTCACAGAAAACACTGACACAGCAAAACTAGCACTACTAAGCAAAACTATACGATTCAGGAAGGGTTACCTATTGTGTATGTCCCAACACGATAAACGAGAAAGCAATTGGAGACCGCCGACTTATTGATCTAGCGGCGTGTATCCTTCGCTCTGACTTAATAGCGACACCACGTGTCCCATCACTAACTAAATAATAACTCGCTAGGTATACGACATATTTCATTCGAAATCAACAAGCTTCTGGTTCGACATATGATAAATGCACATGCAAAATCGCTTTTGTGAGATATCGCGTAACATACGAAAGTGTTCAACAGACTAACAGACAAATACCTATCGACATACTTACCGATCGACATCGATAAGTAACAATTCATTCAAGCTATGCGGTCAGGTATTCAGTGACTGCTCTATTGACAGTAACTATCTCTGAGCCGTGCCTTGTTTTTATTTAACGAACAAACAGGCGTTCGTACATTAGTTGTCTTCGTTTGCACAAGTTTATCATTATTGGCCTTGAGTTGAGATTTAAAATATGGTGTGTTGTACAGCAATCTATTGGTAATTGAAACCGATATTTCTTTAGTAGGCATTTCTGGATACTCCCGTAGTAGGTGTACCAGGTTAGCTAAATAAATATACCCTCTGCCCATAGGCTTCCGTCCCTCCACACAACTTGATGTAAAGTTGGCGAACAAAATTAGTTACCTCCATATTGATACACAAACTTCTGGCGCGCCCATTGCTGAACGAAGTGCTCTCAGGGTTACCAATATCAATGTGTCGCACACAAATAGCAAATCAAACTTGAAATCATAAATGTGAATTGAATATTCAAGATTACATAGGATTGATGGAAAACTGAACTAACAGCCACAAGTGACTGCTTTAGTTAACCCAATAGCAATAGCAATAAACCCATATTTATCGGTATAAATTAGATGACCGATCAAGAAGTGCCAATATACCAATTGGAGAGCGCACGTATGTAATTCCCAATATTTTTTGTAGAATCATAAGTTTCTGATCTGCGTATGTCTTGTCCAACCAATTTCTATGGTAGACCATAGATTTTATTCTTTGGCGAACTACGACTTCTATTGTGGTTGTTTATTCCCTGTTGTCAATGTATACTTTAGTTATGTAAACAATCTTCATTTACGATCGCCTATTACTTCGTCGTTAGGGATTATATGCGTTTGAACATGCTACACCGTTCGTCAGTCTCAATGCCCAATACAACAGAATACAGAAAGTCTAATACAAGAACAGGCGCTCCGGAAGTGTGTGTACCAATATGAAGATAACTAATTTTGTTCGCCTATTTTACATCAATTTGTGTAAAGGGACTGAAACAATGAGATATTCACTTGGGTAACAAAGACAGTTCCCGAACTCGTAATAGAACTAAAATAAGAAAAATCGGAATAAAAAATGGCCTAACCTTAACCTGGTACTCATACAACGGAAGTATCCAGAACATAAAAAGCTCTTCTGTCTTAAATTTATAAAACGAAATCACTTTCAGGGGTACTTACTTCCTATTACGTCATCAACGGACTGTACTAATCAGCTGTTGATTTTTACGAATGGGTTAATTTTAAAAAAACTGAGTCTTGCAAACTCAAATAAATTTTACATTATTAGTAATTGTTTGACTCAAATTCAAAGAATTGACTTTAAACACAAATACATGTTTGACAGTTAGCAGACTTTGTTTTATAAAAATGTTTGCTGTGGGCAAATTTACGTGCGCTCACTCAGAAGTAAAAACACCGATCTCTAAGCGAAGTTACGATTGACCACTGGAATGTAAATGAGACAACAAATATTAATAATGAGAACTGTGCGTTAGTAAATGTAGAATGACGCAGAACTTGAAACCTCTCGAGTTTATGCAATCGGAAAAGCAGATGTGGAGATGTGAATTCAACATATCTGAAGTTTATGCGTAACTATTTGGCAAATTTTTTCTATTTTAGAAACTATTTGCATGATTTTTTTTTATTTTCAGAAACTATTTGCATGATTTTTTTTTGAGTATATATATATATACAATTAAAAAACGAAGGAGAGCTCCCGGTAAAACGAGTTTTATAACTGAAAACTCATTGAAATGAACGGTTTCAGAAAGTTCTGAATTACACTATTCGTTTAAGGATTTTTAGATTGCGTTTCACACGTGGTTCTTCACGAAAAGTTACATCTTGTTGATTTTTATATTGTTCTAATCAAATATGTTCTTGAAGACCTATGTAATAGTAATATTATTCTATGTACCTCTTCCTATATAGCACAGCAATACTGACATTGTATGTACATCTGAACAATTCTAATTTTTAATAATTTTCAAAGACAAGAATTTTGATGAGTAACATTTGTATTATGAGTATCGTTGTTATTTTAAAGCTTTACGGTTTGGAATTATTTGTGAATTAATTTTATTGGTATATTCATTTCATCATAATTTCACGAAAAGTTAGCTGACAAAAAAACAGTCTTTGATTGTTACAAAACTTAGGCACCTTGATGGGATTTGTGAAGTCTAGCACCCCACCTCAAAAATTACTAGCTAAAAATAGGCTATAAATAACAGATAGTAAGGCGAAAGTATGTTTTATTCAAAATACACATTGAAGATATGTTGATGGAATTGCAATCTCTGAACAATGAAGAATTTAAAAATTCAAAATAGGGCGGGTAAGATTAAATCTAACAATTATTTTTATTTTTGATTAGCTCCAGGCCTTCAAAAAATTGTCTTCGCCCCTTTTGTAGGGCACGCAATACCGCTTGGGAACCATTTACTTACAGAAAAGGAACGATTATTGGTTTGCCGCGAAAAGATTTCATGTTTGAATTTATTTCTATATTATTCAATAGACAGTTGAAGGTTAGCACCTCGACTTACAGACGCGCATTTCAATTTGAAACTTGGAAACAAAATGTTAGTCATCCTGTAAGCCAAGCACTGAAAACGCTTACTCACGTCGGGTTACGCCGTGAACCTTCTCAGCAACTGTTTATTTACAGTCTGGATTAAATTAACAATGTCACTGATACTTGACATAGTTCCCAGGCTTGTTCAATAAAAGTAGAATTCGTTATCATATTTTACCATGGGGCGGTAGTAGATGTGTGATCAGCACTTGGAGAGTGTGTGTGCGCAAGATAACCAGGGCCGAACACTTTCCATAATTTTTGGGGAGATGGGAGGACGAACTTGAATCGCGAACCAAAAAAGCACCGCGTCGTGTATCGTTACGTAGCAATAACTATTCGTTGTCGTTCTCTAAAGTATCAGCAAGTCATTTTACTACTAATATATCTAGTACTTAGGCTGCTTTGCTTGGGCATAGAACTTATGCGGCACTAAACCGATCCCTTGAATTCCGCGAGAATTACTCCACGGCTCTTGCTAACTAACAGAAGCGCACCCGACTGCGGTCAGATCAGATAGAAGATGAAAGCGCCATCAACCGGGTGTTAATATACAGGTTGAACTTTAATTCGAATGAACATGATTATTTGCGATAAAGGCTATGTATACCAATTGATCTATTCGATAAAAATATCACTGGTGAGCGATTGTTACCTATAAGTTAACACATGTCAAAACCGTCAGAGTACTGCTAGATATGAAAATCGGTTTAAAATTTTCATAAATTCAAGTTGAAAGATGAAAACTGGTTCCAAACCGTGAAAAAAACTTTTATCATATATTGATTGTTCCAATACCACTACTGTTAGATAGATGATAATTGCTGAGCACGAAATGAAGTTTTATTGTATGAGAATATTCATTTTAATGCAAAGTAAATCCGTGTAACATTTTCATTATAAATATTGTAAATCCTATAAACTATAAAATTCTTTAGTCTTCTTCTATTTATTGCATGGTAGTATCTGAAAATAAATAAGTATTTGCTGAATTTTTAGTCGTGAAGCTAATATAACGAATATTGCAGCAGAATAAGTACAAGTTAACCAAATTTGTTTCTCAAATAATGAACTTGTAGTGTTTATACAGTGCAAGAAAAGGTTGGAGATAATTGGCGGGAGGAGAAAAATGAATCATTTTCAAATAACAAAATTTCATAACCACAACAGCACTAATTACACAATTAGTTATGTGCACTTCATAACGTGATCGAATTATCCGACTTCGGACCGATTGCTTAAAAATTCTTTAGTGTTAAATTTGTTAAATTTTGGTAGCACAGTATTGAGAATAACCCTAACTCGGGAATGTCGAAACAGCCAATCAATCATCTTACCGAGAAAATCTTAGTCCACGACTGAATGTGTTTATCCACCGCCAAATCCGTTCGCAAAAACTGTAACGATATAAGTACGGTAGCAATAAAAGGGGTGTTTACGACCACTGGGGTAGGCGGAGAAGAGATAAATTAATCTTATAAAAATACGAAAATTTCATAACAGTAACAGCACTAATTACTCAATCATACAACGTCAGGACAGCCAATTATTTAATCGAGCAAATCTCAGTTCACGACATAATGTGTTTACGCGCCACCGCCAAATCCATGCTTTGAAACTGTAACCATAAGTATGAAAGTATTAGAAGTGGTGTTTGCGCCCAGTAGTTAGCGCGGTGTTTCCCAACCGGGAAGGAATTCCGCCCCACGGAGGACTTTTACTGGTAAGGTAGCGATTTAACTATGTGTTTGCATGTATTACTAATATCCTTTACTCACAAGTATCACTGTAATACATAATTATGCACACTTTACAATATATTCGGAATAGCCGAGTGCGAGCTGCGCGGATCCCTAGTTAATGATTTATTAACCCACAAATGAAAACAGGCTTTTTATGCTTAGTAGGTAGGAAGGAAGAAGAAGGTTTAAAATATGCTAACGGAGTAATGTATCAACAAACGTTTGGAAGGAAGATCTGATTTAGCTAATTTGGCTGAACTCAGAATCTCGTATTCAAAATCGTGAAAATAGAAGTAAACGAGTGTAAACAGTGTTGTTTATATTATATCAATGAAAATGTTTTGAGATATTGGCGGCTAACATATTACTTATTTCTTTCAAATACCAAGATTCTATTTCAATTGCCAATATGCGAATCATTCGTGGTTATTTGTGGAAAATATAAAAAATGGACTTGATACAACTCTTTGGTGAATTAGTGTTGTTTACAGAAAATATTTGAATGTCTTGAATAGCTTTCAAAACAATACAAAATTTTTTGGCCGATTTTTAAAATACACAATATACACTTTGACACAATATCTTCAAATTGGGCTATAATATGATGAATATAAAATATAATCAAAAACGAAACATTTCTAACTTAAGAAACAATTTGCTCTGACGTCTAAATCAGTATTTTTCACATTACATTTCATACTATTTTGGTTAAAGTTAAGCAATACCTCAGGATTTTTCAATAACAGCTGTCTTCTTTATCACAATTTCCTTAATTTGATCTAAAAATGATGAATGAAAGAATATAACAAAAAATTGAACTTTTATAAAATTCAAAATCCATGAACATGATTTCAGTTATAGTTTTGTTTTTATCTTTTGAATAAGTCGAGTAATACTATGCTTGTTTTAAAATATTTTCACTGTCTTCAATAACCAATACATATACTAAATCAAACAATGACACTTTCATGACTTCTGAAATAATATACTCTATAAAAGTATAAAACAGTATTTTCAATATTAGATTTTTGACTATTCTATTTATAATTGAGTAATACCTTCTGGTTTTTCAAGAGACGTCATAGAAGAAGGCTTGGGCACAATATCTTCTATTTGGGCTAAAAACATTAAAATACGAAAATATAATGAATAATGAAGATTTTAAAAAATTCAACAACTAAAATTACCGCCTTCAGTTATATATTTATTTTCTTATTAAAATAAGACGAGCAATTTCATTGTTTGTTTTAAGTATTTTCACTGTTTCCAACCAGCTAAAGTAATACCTTCTGGTACTTCAAAGGCCTCTGTCGGCTTTGGCACAATATCTTCTAGTTGGTCTAAAACAATAACAAATATATAAATAAATTTATAAAATGACACTTATACTATTTTAAAACAATTTCCTTTGAAGCGTAAAAAAGCAATTTCGCAATATCATTTCTGAGCAACCTCAAATCCGTTTCACTTAAAAATATAACAAAACCTGGTTTTTCAGCAAATGTCACGGGAGAGAGCATTAGCGAATGAATTATGAATGCTGAAAATACAATATTCTTGAATTTTGGTTTATCTCTTGCTATTTGACATATGTCTGTTATAACTATAGATTAACAATATCTTTAATTAAAGATTTAAAACGTAACAAATTATAAACCCTTAGTAGTGTAAGCTATGACAAATTATATGAGTGTAGAAATTAACGAAGACTCTTGGAGGTCAAAAATAGTTAGAGCACCATAGCAAGAGTCTTAGAGTGTGAACATTTTTTGTAACAAACTAAAAAATTGTCTTACTTGGTTCGGGAAATATATTTTCATATTCTGCTGGAAGACAGGAAACTATTCTGAAAAATCAAGCATAACTTTGATTAAGTCAATAAAAGCTATAAATAAACTGATGAAATCTTATCAGGGAAAATTTTGACACTGTACATGTGCGTTAGCATTACGTTTATTCGTCTGCGTTTCCTATTGTCTAAAGACGAGTCACTTTGTGTAAATTTACATGCTATATAACGAAAGAATATAGTTTGGCCTTAGACAAAACAGCATCCTCATACTAGTAAAGTATACAAATCCATAATAATATTACTAAGCACAAAAATCAAATGCTGTAGCTTACCCAATCACAACGAAAAGCAGCAGAGCCCTTTGAATCATATTGCAATCGTTCTAATCTCAAACATCTGACTGAAATGTTTGAGTTCATTTCGTACTTATGTTTGAAAAAGTAGGAAATTATCTACGGATTCCGATTTCCTAATTAATTTTGCTTGCGCACAATATGCCAGCCGTTAAGTCTCGGAACTCTAGCTGAATGTTGCTATGACAGGAAATATACATACGTTGTTGTTTATCCTGACTTGTAACTTCGTGTATAAATTTGTTGTTATTGATATGATTGATAAATCGATCATTATTTATTTATTATTCATTATGAGCTCCCTGTTTTGACCTAAAGATTTTGATGTTCGAATACTCGAATCGATCTCAAAAATCTTAAATTATAAAGGCTCAGCAAATATTTCACAAACTATGGCAATCGGAATGCTAATAACGTTTTAACGGTATCCAAGCCGGATAGCGACTGTCATAATGACGACCGCATTAAAACAGCGACTGTTATGATAGCGACTTAACTTTTTGTACAGGAATGACAAAACAAAGTTAGGTTTAGGGTGTGGGGAATGGAAGGTGTTTGTGTGTGTGTGTGTGGAGGGGGGGGGGGGGGGGGGGTGAAAGAGTGCGTGTGCGCCTAACACTTGGATTTAATAAAGGAAGTGATGTCGCTGTTGTGGCAGTTGCTGTTTTAAATGAATCGCTGTCGTGTAGTCGCTCTATTGACAGTCGCTGTTTTAAATTAATCGCTGTCGTGTAGTCGCTTTATTGACAGTCGCTGTTTTAAATTGATCACTGTTGTGTGGTCGCTCTATTGACAGTCGCTGTTCTGACAGTCGCTATTTGAAAACCGAGCCCGTTTAAACAAATCTGTATTTACGTTTGCGTCACGAATTCACTCTATAAAAATACGATTCTTCATGTTATCTCGCGGGTAAAGAAAACCAATAAGAAGGCCAACCCAGTCCTTTACCATGTTTACAGGCTATGTCAGAAATAGATGTAAATATCCGATAAATACTTTTAGATGTTTTTATTTTAAAAAAATATCGTTTGTCGTTTATTTCTACGATATTTAAATGTCGCATGACTAATTGCCACAGTGACAAATTCTATCCCGAGGCGCCAAAACTTATGTGAATAAATGTCTACAACGAGTTCAAGCAATAAGTATATAATCTATTAAACTGTTTGTCAGTCTTTAGGTGATACTCATGTGACTAATTAAAAAAGACATAGCCGCTTTGCAGGAAATGTTACGTTGTTCTGTTGCTCTACATATCGTTATGTCTTACTCGTGTTTCGTGAACGTTTTTAGGAAAAATTAGGATTTGTTACTTTACTTCTTCATTACAAAATGCATTATTATTGTCATTTAGCAGTTATATATGGCAGATTGCTAAAATGTGCATATTAGTTTAAAACGACATCGAGCTAAGTTTATAACCGCCAAACATTTGATTTTGTACGAATTTGAAAATGACCCTTTTAAAATTTCAAGAGTGAAACTGCTATGGTTGCTCCTAGTTGCACTACGTATGTCTGAGGAAACGTTAACGTTACAGAAATATATTTGTGTTAGTGTGAAGCAAGTCAATTGAATCCCCTAAAATTGCTATTATAGTTTTAATATATTTTCACTTTACGTATTTTACAAATACCTATGATGTCTCATGAATCGAATTTCAATGTAGATATGTACACGTATATGACTAAAGTGAGCATGCGATGAACGAAAACCGATCGCTTACGCGTATAGTTGAGAGAATTTATTTTCAGGTGAAGGGCCTGAATTTGGTTAAATTTACCCAATCACTTTAAAATTCAAACACTTTTAATCAATGGACACAAAATCTTGAAAAATGAGGCTAAAGTAAAACATAAGGATAACGTTTAACGTCTTATACGGTTGTAGTCTAAAACTTGTGATTCCTTTGCATATTTTTGTAGTTGTAGGCAAACTAATAGTACCAATTTGTGAGAAAGATACTTGAAGTTTCTTTGCTAAAATGTCTAAGTTGATAAGTATTGCATTCATTATTTTAATCCTAAACTACTGTGTTGCTGGCAACGATGATTATTGCTGTCGTCCTAACTACAAGCAAGGAAGGCCTGGTAAAAGAGGAATTCTGGGGCCAGAAGGTCCAACGGGACCAGCGGGTAAAAATGGCTCGCCAGGTTCCGTGGGGCCAGCAGGACCGCCTGGAAGTAGTGGAAGTCCGGGTCCAAAAGGGGACAGAGGCAGTTCAGGTTCTCCGGGAAAGTCAGTCGATGTTAACCAGATAATCAAAATGGTTGATGCAAAATTAGCTTCACTGAGAAGTAAGTTTTCTAAGATTATTTAATTCAATGTTGCTCATAACAATATGTATAATTTTAAAATTGAAAATGAAAATGCAGCTTTTTTGTAATATTATATTTGTACATGCTATAAAATGGTATATCGTAAAATGAATGGATGAATAGGTTTTATTAGACGAGAACTAAAATTTTATACATCGACCTATATCAGGTATTCAATTGCTATCTCGCATTAATTACATAATGAGTATGTAAGTGTATCTAGGTTAGCTTACCTCATCCGAACCAACTCTGAAAATAAAATTGGCTATATTAAATAGTGGTTCCAAAAATATATCTCTGTCACCGACAAATGCACAATGAATCCAATGCATTTAATTTTCACTAGTTGAGGTCTGTCGAAACTTATAATTTAGCATTATTTGATAATAAATTTATACTTATTCAAAAATTTCAAAGAGACGCAATATATTGTTTTTTATTAGTTCCGAGAGTAACACTGATTTTTTGTTTTTTCAGATGAGAATACTGCACTCAAAAAACGAATCGAAAAACTTGAAAGTAAGAATTTACGATTTCAAATTTTACTGGCATATCAATGATGCAACTTCAATTTTAAAGCAGAATTATTGGACTATTTCAATGTTATTTTAACATATATGACTTACCCGACCTGTTTAGGCGTATGTTGCATTTAAAAAACCTCTGCAATTTAAATTGTAATTACCGGGAATATGTTTATATATTCACAATTCATAATGCGATAAAATACCGAAATTTATATTTTGAATTAAAATGAAATTATTAAAATAGAAAATTAACTTTATAAAATGAAAATTACTTAAAAATCAAAAAATCAAAAATAACAATCGAAAATGAATCCGCGATAATCAGGTTTGCGCAAAATAGAATAACATCAGGTACTGTTCGATTACATAAAAAATGTGTATATGGTATAAACATTCTGAACAACTCGCTACTGATATACATGTAATCTTTATATTTCAAATATCCTATTATTTCTTATTGTTTCCTATTGTTATAGTTTGAAGATCCCAAATTTGTATTTTGATTGAATTTATCCCCTGTCTTGCCGAGACAATATCAACCAATCACTGTTTTTTCTTTCTGTGTGGCAATTATCATCACCGAACCAAAACCAAATGGTTATTTCCAATACGAAATGCTCTCATAATAGAAATATTTCGATAGCTCCTCTTCCTGCCTCCCGACGTATATAAATATAATATATAACTATGATTTATGTAGAATAACTAATAACTCAACAGATTATTTCGAATCGCCAGGAAGTTTGCCATCAGTGACTTAAAATTTCAGAATGGTATTTATATTCAATAACTAGTAATTCTTTAAGCACAATTTGAATCAATTAGACGAATTTAAAAAAAAAATGGACAGTAATTGATAAATGACTGACTATTTGTATCATAATTGAAGTTTTTTTTTGTGCCGTAATGGTTTAGCAGTCTTAGTAAAATTTGCTTTGATTTGATTAGATAAATACACAAACATGTTTCTTCATGGCAATTCAACTAGGATTTTTTTCGATAGAATTAAATGCCCTACTTTGTGTTTACGAGCCAGATTTTTTTCACAGACAATTGCAAATCTCTCCTGAAATTAAACTATAATTGCATTTAGCTAGAAAATTGAGTCATATTATAATATATATTGTTTTGCAATAAGCATATTGCAACAGAATATTGACATTACATTTTGACAATTTCGTTTGAATAATACGGTTTTATATAATGATAGCGATAATACCTAAAATCCAGAATCCCAAAAATCCCAAGTCATTTGAAACACATTCTACAGAGAAATAATGTACAAATCGTCCAAGATTATAAAATCTTTTAGGTACAATTAAAAACAATCAGAAGTTCAAGAGTTAAAAATTCTTTCCACTTTAGTTGGATAAACTAACAAATGTATGGGTTCTGTTTATTTTGAGTCACCAAATGTTCTTATATTTTTCAGAATGCCGGTGCCTCACGACTCCTATAATCAAACCATTTCCGTCAAAGCGTCCGGTTCCAATAACACGTCCAATCCCGATAACTCCAAGAAGACCAATTCCGACGAAGTTTCCTTTTCCAAATTTCCCGAGGCCGATGCCAAATTTCCCGATTGGTATAAGAAACCCATTCCGATAGAAGTAACAGAAATTACATTGACAGCAGAAATTGCATGACTATATTAGCCTTATATAAAATAAAAAATACACAATAAACTTTCTTCTCTATAAATATTAAATTGAATTGCTTTTAATATGCTGATACCTAAAATGAAAATATACCGATTTAGATTTTAAAATAGCAATGAGATATAACAGGAATTGCTCATTATTTACTGAATGAGTCGAGCAAAATATTTTTATTATAATGAGGAAAACTGTGGGCCGTAGATTCAATTGGTGTTAGCATCTATGAGAAACAGGCTGTAGCGTCTTTTCCGCAAATATCTTAATTCTGGGTTTGTATTACGTTTTGGGATTTAAATATGCGGCACTGACTGTCACTAAGCAGACTGCCCATAATTTTTTATCACTGAGAATAACAAGGTGAGTCACTTTGTTATCCACTGGTCCGTGGTTTGCCATCCTTGAGATATACCTATGTCGCATATGTGCATTGATAACCGTATTTACAATAATAAGAGACCTTGATGACCAAATTGTAATATTGTCGCACTCAGGCTAAATTTAAGCTTATAGCATTCTAATGCACCAGTCTTGTGTGATACCCATTTCTCTGACGGAAAAATGAAAAGTTAATTACACACCGTCATACTCGTCACCGTTCTTAGTCGATCATTAAGCCCAGGTTTTGTGATCTGCGAAGCTCTTTACTGTTGGTCGGCTAACCTTTTGTGAAATATATATATATATGAATATAACATTAAATTTAATTCACAAGCAATTCCTAAATCTGAAAGATTCAAAACAACAACGAAGCATATTATGTTACTCATCAATATTTTCATGCATGAAAGTTATTGAAATTTAGAATTGTACATACAATGTCAATATTGCTGTGCTATATTGGAAAAAGGACATAGAATAATATTGCTATTACATATGTCTTCAAGAATAGATTTGATTAGAACAATATGAAGATCAACAAGATGTAACATTTTGCGAAGAACCTCGTGTGGAACACAAACTAAAAATATTAAAATAGGTAATATAATTTAGAACTTTGTGACGCATAAAACCCCTAAATACGAAATAATAGGCGATCATGAATGAAAATTGTTTACCTCTCTGAAGCATACATTAACAACAGTGATTAAAACAACCATAACAGAAGTCGTAGTCTGCCAAAGAATGAAATCCGGCGAGCTGGTCTACTATATAAATTGGTTGGACAAGACATACGCAGATCAGAAACTTATTATTCTACAAAAAATATTGGGAATTACATACGTGCTTTTTCGAAATATTTTATTGGCAGTTTAGATTTGTATTTCAAATTTATATCGATAAATATTATATTATTGCCCATATCGTAAGTTTGCAAATCTGAACTTAACACAATTCACTTTACCACAATTTTTGCGCTAAAATACACACATAAAATTATTTTGGGTTGATAAACGAGCTCAGTCTGCTGGGTATCATGAAGATGTACGATGGTGGTAAAGTGATTGCTGCTGAGCGCTTGTGTATTTGACAGATTAGGAGATTTCCGCCCGTTCATATATGTATGCATATTTGAAGTAGCCTAAAAAGAATGACGATTATAATTTCAAGTGGGTATCACTAGAAGGCTATTACTCTTCTTAGTTCCTAAATTTTCTGTGAGGTCTGATATTGTATATAAAATGCACTAGATAATTTTTTTAATTAAGGGGAACACGTTTTATGACATCGTGACAGATTGCATAGCCGTGTTACCTCTTTTTGGATTTCGTGTCCATATATTTGAGCATTGCTCTCTTATTTATCATATGAATTTAGAGCTAATAAGGTGACATTTTTGTATAAAATTTTCCCAATAGATAATCTTGTTATATATCTTTTTATTTTGAAATGTTCGAATTAAATATATCGGTACTCCCGAAGTATGTGTACCAGGTTAGGGTCAGGCAATATTTTAATTCCGATTTTCCGTATTTTAGTTTTATTACGAGTTCGGTGACTGTCTGTATTAGCCAATTAAATATAGCCCCTGCCATAGGTTTCAGTCACTTTACACAACATAGTGTAAATTGGACAAAATTAGTTACCGTACCTCCATATTGGTACACACACTTCTGGAGCGCTAATATATTATAATAAAATATAAAAATTGAATTCACATTTATGTTTCAAAGTTTGATCTGGTGTTTGTGTTCGACACACTATTATTGGCAGCTTCGTGAGCAGTTCGTCCAACAATGCCTACTAAAGAAAAGTCGTTTGCAATTGCCTATAAAATGCTGTACAACGCACCATTAAATTTTAAATCCCAACTCAAGCAAATAAAGATAAATTTGTGCAAACAAAGACGACTTACATACGGAGGCCTGTTTGCTCGTTAAATAAAGACACGGCACGGCTCAGAGATAGTTACTGTCAAAAGAGCAGTCACCAAATACCTGAGCGCGTCGCTTGAATGAATTGTTTGTCGTGTTGGGACATACACAATAGGTAATCCATGACTCACAAAATGAAAACCTCTGCTTCATAGGCGACATGCTTCGCTTATTTAGAATGTATGTGGGTGTCAGTTCGCTTTGTGAGAAAAGAGGAACTTTATTTTTGAAGCGAGTCGGGACTGTTTATCGCAAATGCTCAAATGGACTAGTGATTTCATAAAAGGGCTTTAGATGTAACAGTGATTGCCAAAAATTGCGCTACACATAGTGTTTTGCTGTAGAACTACATGTAAAACAGTAAAGGTGATAGAAGCGACTCTGTAACCATAGTTGTGTTCACTGGATAAAAATATTGAAATGACAGATGCATGTGCATTGTGATGGTAGGACAGCAAATTAGGAGAGTTTACTGGGATGTCTATATTTTCATTTTAGTAATTTTATGCTGCAATCATCCACACTAATATACAGCGGGTCAAGGTAACTCAAAGTAACAAGTAACACGAATTACGCCGTTATTGCATATAATGGAGCTATTACTTTAATTGCTTAGCATGTCACGTAGTCTAAATATTCGAGAAAACCCAAAAGGGTCAGTGATATTTTCACATATATACCAAGACATCACGCTATGGTATTTTAAGTCTATGCATGTATGTACAAAACTATATTTATCACTCTTGTGGGTACGAACGGGGACATTCTCCAAGGGTTATAAACAATAACGCAGCGGCTGCAATCGCTCAGGCTTGTCATTTCACGACAAACTGAGACTTTGCTGGTGATTTACAATATTTCATTTTTCCTTTAGTCTAGATTAAACCAATGTTGCGTTGGGATCGTTCGATTGAAATGTACGACTCGCAAACTACTTGATTTTAAAGATCTTTGGTGAATGTGTGCGACCGATAACAGTAAATATATCTTTTTAATCAAGTTACACATATTAATTGTTTGTTGAATTCTAAAGCAACTAAGTCTGGTTATGTAACTGCAGAGATAGTGGGGATTCATTGTAGAAACAAAAATGAGTATTACTAAGCAGTCAGAATGCAATCAACGAGTATGACTCTGTTAAAGCATACGTTTGAAGTTTCTCCCAAAAATGATCCCAAGCCACTGGGACTGCTGTAATACATATTGTAATGGTTGGAAGGCAAATTGAAAGAGTGTACTGAGATGTCTGTAGATATTTAAAAACTGCAACCATTCGTACTGATATACGGCAGGTCGATGTAACTCTAAGTAACAAGTAACACAGCTAAGATTAAACCCTTACTTGAAAAACTTCCAACCACTTGAATATATTCAATAATAAAATCGAATTTTGCTGTTATTACATATAATAATGCTATACCTTTAATTGTTTGGAATATCTTGTATGTTAACTATTCGAGAAACCTCAAAAAGGTCAGCGACAACTTGGCATATATACCCATTACGATATGGTATTTTAAGTCTGTATTTATGTACAAAACTCGGCTCTCCAGAAGTGTGTGTACCAATATGGATGTAACTAATTTTGTTCGCCTATTTTACATCGAGTTGTGTAAAGGAACTGAAGCCTTTAGACAGGGGGTATATTCACATGGCTAACACAGACAGTTGCCGAACTCGTAATAGAACTAAAATAAGGAATATCGGAATAAAATTATGACCTAACTCTAATATTGTAGACATGCTACGAGAGCACCGAAAACTCGATATTTATCACTCTATTGCGTATAAACGGGTCATACTCGAATGATTACAAACAATAACGCAGCGACTGCAATCGCTCAAGCTCATCATTTCACGTATAAGCCTTTGCTATTGATTCTCAATATTTTATTTTTCATTTAGTCAAGTTTAAACCTATATTGCGTTGAGATCGTTGGTTTGAAATGTACGACTTGCAAACTACTTGATTTTAAAGATCTTTGGTGGGTGTAAGCGGCCGATAACAGTAAGCAAATCCTCCTAAATTAAATTACATATATTATTGATTGTTTGTTGAATTCTGAACCACCTAAGCCTGGAGATGTTTCTTCAGAGATAGCAGAAATTCATTGTAGAAAAGAAATTGAGCATTCCAAACGCAATCTATGAACACAGACTTGTGCTAAACAAGAAAATAAATGCTAAACATTATGTTATACAGTTAAAGATATTATTCTTGTCGTAAGAAATAGTATCTAAATTTAATGCAATTCAGTTTGTTTCTAAATGTAAATTTAAGACATCAAAATTCCCCCACATCAGTATCTGACTTTTGGAGATTAACAACTGAAAAAAACTATGGCCAGTATTGGAATTGATTTTGGAACGTCTTTCTGCTGCGTTGCTGCTTGTATTGATGGCAAAGTAAGTTATTTAGTTCATTCTAGTTTTCTATTTATTATTTTTCTAGATCTTCTCTCTTCTTTCTCTAAATTATTTTTGCACACTTTTTTTACGACTACTCGATTTATTGTTTTTACTTTTTTCTCTGATCTCACTTATTACTCTTTTTGTCTTGTCCCGTCGCTTCCCCCGTTCCTTTTTAACTAGTTCCTCTCAAAATTACCTTCTTGTCTAAAAGTTATCTCTTGTCACAACTAATGTTTTGAAGTTCTTCCTTCAGATTCATCAAATTTTCTTGGATTATATTTATTCCCAGACCTTTGTAATGTAGATAGATATTCTTATCTAGCTTTTAGTCGTTCCGTTATCTTTTCTATATTTTAATAAATTTTCCTTTTATCACCTTTTACTCTTTTTACATTATTACCAGTTTACCAATTTATTACTTCTTAGGTTGAAGTTATATCCAATGAACTCGACAGTCGATTGACACCTTCATATGTCGCCTTTACCGAAGACGAGAGATTGTTCGGAGATGCAGCGCAAAACCAAGCTCCAGTCAATCTAAAGAATACTGTATATCGTAAGCTTTGATTTCTTTCGGTTGGGCAATCTAAATCACGATTACGTTTTAGTATGCTTATAAGTTTAATTCAGGTCTCGGTCATTGAAAAAAATGAGAAAAAATGGTGTTTTTGTCGTTGTAACTAAATGCACAACGAGTTACCATTTGAAAGAACCTTTGGAAGAATTGGAAACCGTTTTGGTTTGGCATTGCCTATAGCCAACACCATAGGCAAAGTAGAGGGCGTGATTCCTACCCTAGAATCTAGGACTAGAGGACGACACATTTCAGTTCAATGCTTTAAAATCACTCGATGATCAAACCCACCCGAATCCTGTTGAAAATCTAGACTAGAGAAAATCGACAATTGATATCAGTAATTTAGTTTTCCCGTAAAAAGTTAGTATATAGGGTACATAAATACAATCGACAAAGACACAATCGCCATTTCTATGGTCTTCTTTGGAAGAATTGAGCTTTATTGGGCTTCCATTAAGTTAGCATTTAAAGATTTTACTTTTTATATTTTTACTTTATGTTTTCATATTCTATTTCAGAAATAAAACGACTCATAGGTCGGACAGTGGATAATGAAGCTGTACAAAAATATCAGCAATATTGGGGTTTTGAAATTGACTTGAGCGACAATCATCTTCGAATACCGGTAACTTTCAATTTATAAATAAAAAATAACAGGGCGATTTTAATTCTATCAGAGCGGTTGATATACTTAGTTCAAATGTCAATCCCATCGTTTGTAGTAGTTTTCGTTATATAAGTTTACTAAAAGCACATTTTCCACCACTAAACTGGAAGGAGAAAAGCTACTGCAAACCACCACTGCTGTATTAAAATGATCTTCTCGACAAGGATGCCAATAAATACAGGTTTGTCCAAATTTACATTAATGGAGTGCTAGCAGTTCGAAGTCCATTTTCAGATCGATGGGTGGATTCCATGACGCCCATTTTAGAACAAAAATTGTGTGCACGAATATGTTGAGCCAAAAAGTGTCATTTTTAATTTTTTTTGAATGTGGAAGGTTATCTTGGTTGAGTTGTTTTCATTAAAATTGCTAACATTGGCACATCTCTGCGGGCCGCACAATTTTTCCTCCTGGGTCGCATTTGACCCGCGGGCCGCAGTTTATATACCCCTTCATAAATATCCTGAATAAGATCAAACTGACTTCAATGGATTTGTTACAGATAACCTACCGGGAGAAGAAATACAAACTCCGACCTGAACAAATCGCAGCAATGCTGCTCGAGCAAATGAAACATATCGCCGAGGAGTATCTCAACGAAAATGTCGATAACGCCTTCATATCTGTTCCTGCGTGTTTTATTGATCAACAACGTAATGCAATCCAAGACGCAGGTTTTATAGCGGGATTCAAGAATGTCAGATTGATTGACGAACCTAAAGCTGCAGCAAGAGCATTTGCAGAGAATCGTAATGTACGAAAATATATACTAATTCCGGGTGGGGCAAACTTTGGCTCGCAGATAGGAATAATGACGTCACAGTTAATTTCCCAATGTGACTCTTCGCAAGAAAAAATCTGAATGGGGGAAAAACTCGGCGCATCCCTGGGCTCCAGTATTGTCACGACCTCGAAAAGCAAAACTCGCTCTAAAATCTCAACATTTAGGGATCTTGGGTATTTTATGTTCACGTAAAGGTCGTAATATTGGGAAGCACAGATAAATTTAACAATTCAATATAGTCATAGATTCACATAGCAAAACTCCTAACGTCTCAATATTTGATTGGTCTAAACTAAAGTTTACAATATTTTTCGCATGACAGACGGATTTACCTGTAAATGAATCAGAATCTGTAAATGAATAAAAATTTTGAGAAATAGTTTTACTCCCTCCATAATATAGGTTCGCTCTGCAGAAGTTCGAAGATTTTGATATTTTTGAAAATATTGGCTGCTTTACCTCGTTTCGAAAGAAATGTCAGAAAACCTGATCTCATCTGGAAGTGACCTATATATCCGTATAACAGCCACTTCATCGCCATCAATTGCTTTCATAGCACCCCAGTGCCATTAATCGTTTTATTTTGTTACTTTTATGAATAAAATATTTGACCATATCTTTCTTGCAATTTTTAAAAGTTTTATTTGTATTTTCCTTAACCAGATATCTGACAGACGTAACGTTCTAATATTCGACATCGGAGGAGGGAAGTTTGATGTGGCCATTTACGTTATTGAAGGAAGCAATGTTATTGAAGCTTTGGCCGCACATGGAAATCCCAGTTTTGGAGGCAAGAACATAATTTTCCATATTTGATGAAATGTGATTCAAAAATCAAATAGCAAATTTCCGATTGTTGTGAACTCAATCAAACAGAGAAGCCTCTAAACTAATTAATCAAAAACGATAGATTTACAAACAATTAATATTATCTTGAGGGTATATAGGGATAAATAAAACTAAAATTTGTCATATGAGCATGAACCAAGGCGAGTTCAAAAATGGGTCATCCATTTTTATCATTTAATAGGTAATCCTAGATTAAAAAAAAGATTAATATTTCACAAAATATCTGAAACTCTATCTTTAGCTTCATTTTTACTTCATTCAATACTTCTGTGAGTTTTAAAAAAATATATGGTATCGATGAATTTCCTTTGCAATTTTTAAATTTTTCAAGACTTCATGGACACTCTTTTATACACCCTGGGTGAGGTGGGGTGCATATTTTATTTGACCTCTCACTTCAGACTTGAAGTCGTTTAATCCGTATATCGATGATATGAGAATCATGTATCCCAATTTACAAATTTTAAGCTTGTATATTACATATCGATTTTTAGGAGACGATTTTGACATTAACATGATGGATAACATAAACGTATGTTCTGGTAATAAGAAGGGAATGTTCCGACTGAGAGTGGCCTGTGAAAAAGCGAAGAAAAAATTTTCGGCTTCGAAGCAAGCCAGGTATTTAAAATAAATAAAATTAAAGATATATTCCATTATAATTTATGCTTTTAATATACATACAAGAGCATTCATTACTTAAAATAGCGCGATAGATATAATTTGAGTTGTGCCAGATACAAACAAATTTTAAAATTGTAGTTAAATAAAAAGGTAAACAGTACACATATGACTATGATGACGTCATATAATGAAAATGGGACTACATGCAAAACTAAAGCGGTTTCTATCATTCCAAAACACGCCTACACATTAGTGATTGTCTGTCAATATCTATGTTTGGCACGTTTGTCTTGAAACATCTTGAAGATAGTTAACATAGCTTTTAACTGGATAAGTGGAATGCCTGATAACGAGTTACACATTGTTAGTTTTCAATTTTAGCTTCACATTGATGACTTATCCATCATACATCAAATATTCTGCTATACTTATTTCTGTTTTATCTGTGCCTAACATAAGAATTTCCTTTTCCATAAGCATTGCCTTTTTTATGCGATAAATCTTGATTTTTTTATAATAATGATTTGTTTTTGGAGTCAATTTCGCAGTTACCATAATTTTTGATTTTGTCTTTAAAATATTTGAAATTGTAATCAGGTGGAGATATAGCATTCCAAATATTTATTTAACTGGAGTCAAACAAATTAACATTGTATTTAACATTTGGCAAATAAATTCCTTCATGCACATCTGTTTCGCCGGCAGAATAGATACTACATTTTGATAAGTTTTGATAAGATAAACCAGGACGATTGAAAGCAATCTAGAAATTGATAAATCTGCTGCGTTTAAAACATTTAGCAAATACGCGAAGCAATCTTTCTAATATTGAAGCCTGCTATACAACCATCTAGGAAGGCTAATTTCATATTTTGCAGACTCCAAGCTGATTGCATCAATGGAAATGAACCTTACAACACAACGTTGACGAGGTCCGAATTCGAAGAAATAAATAAAGAGAGTTTTAAAAGTATCGAACAAGTTCTTCGCAATGTTTTAACAAAAGCGAAGATTGTCGCCAACCAGGTAAAATATATTACTTTTACCTTTAATTTTGTATGGTATTCGAACAAACAAGGTCGGTGCCAGCATAGCGTAAGATTTACCACGTCAATTTCGCAAATATGTTCCAACCAACATATTATGTTCCCTGTCCAAATGTGATCTAAGATCTACCCTGAGTTTAGCAAATGTGTAAATTAAGGATTTATCGCTAAATTGAATATACATTAGGGATGGGAATTGCAATGGCAGGCCTCGCGCTATATAGTACTGACTTGAGGTGAATCCTATGGTAGCACTATGAAATCGAATCAAGTGAATCCCGTACAATTACAAGGAATTTAAATTGATTACCTTATTCAATTAATGAATAACTAAAATAATTAGGATTGTACAAGCTCAATCAAGCTTGTTTAGTTTAGGTTTATTGCCTCAATTTTATCTATAATATGTAATTCGTGATATTATGTACTTAGGTGGAAGGTAAACAAATTCAAAGACGAATTTAGTTTGTATTATACCAAATATTGATTTTCAGTTATTATCTACTGTGATATATCTCCCAGCATTGGTTAAGTTCGGCTATGTAAAAATTGCAACAACAGTCAGATGCGATTGTTACTTTAATAGATTGACGACATTGTACTCGTCGGAGGCTCAACACGAATCCCCAAAATCAGAGAATTTCTTCGAGAATTTTTTGATGGAAAAGCGTTGAACAGAACCGTAAATCCTGACGAGGCGGTGGCATGTGGTGCTGCTTATTATGCGGAACAAGCCTTCAACAACGATAGGAGACATGAGCATCCAAATGCAGATGTTAGTTTATATATACATAAATGTATAATCATACGTTTCCGTGTTTATAAGATTGAGCTATAGTTTTCAAAACATAAAATTCCAACTTTAAGATTTTACTAATTCTTGAATTCAAGATACAAATCTTATTTCTTTAGTATTTCTACTACAACGATATGAAAGCATTACGTATATGGAGCTAAAAATCCTATTTTATAGTCAAAAAGTTTCTTTTAATTTGTAGCCTCTACGTTATCTGAAATGGCATACATACGAAATCTCATAATACAATTTTTCTTATTTTAGAATGAAAGAAAGTTGACTGATGAAATACGTGTAATGGTAAGAACTCAATATACATATATTTGAAATGGCTTGGCTATGACTGGGCAATTACAAAGTCGAGTCTCAGCTGGTTATGTAACGTAATATTAATATTCAAAGCATAAGGTACGAACAACTGCACGCTGAAGATGCCGGGTTCCAACTCTGGTTAGTTAGAGTGACAAATGGAAATTTTATTTCCGCGCACGAGAACGAGAATAAAAATTAGTTCTTTTTTTCTCGTTATTCGTTTTCGGATCGAATAAAGAAACAGAAGTAGCCTTATAGGCGCTTTCAAACAAGTTGAAGATATATAGTTTTAAAACTCGAATTTTAAAACAATCCAAATCCAAAAATCTCACTATTGCATGCAATTAAGATTCAAGGAAACGCAATTTTCAATCAAGAAGACGAGCAAGCGAGGCAGCTTAATGAAGCAAGAAACAATTTAGAAGCATACATTCACAAAATAACGAAACGTGCAAAAGATTCGTCAAGCAAACTCGACGAGGACCAAAAGCGACGCATCTTGAAAAAATGTGATTCAACTATATTGTGGCTTGAAGAATACGGAGAGGTAGAAATGCACAGTTGTCTATTAAACCTGAGCTTAAACTCAACTTTTTATTTTAATAAATTGCAAAGCAGATGCATGAAAAAATATTTTTGATTACTGTTTATTTTTAACCCGCTGTGAATCATTACGATGAATTTTTACACGGGCTGAGATAAACTAGTGGACTGCTTTTGGTTTTGAATCGTGGGCAGTCAAGAAACTTTTCCATGGATTTTTCATTTTACCTTTGGCTGCCTCCAACGTAGATGGCTACTCCCGTAGAATGTGAACCAAGATGGCCGACAGCGGAACGTAGTATGTGAACCAGGTTTGGGTTAGGTTTTATATTTCAGGTTCAAATACTACCGAAGTCACTTGGCTAGTCCCCGAACTCGTGATGAAACTAAAATAAGTAAAATTGGAATAAAATTATGGCCTAAAGCTAAACCTAACCTTGTACACATACTATGTTCAGGTGTCAGCCATCTTGGTTCACATACTATACTACAGAAGCGCCCATAGATTGCCTATAGCGGGTAAAGCAGTGATTCCCAACTGGGAAGTATTAATACGTATTTGCAGTAGTACAACTACTAATAGTTTTTATCAATAATACTTTATTGCGAATATATACACACATCAACTACTTAAACTATACAAAGGCATGAATGCTATTCGCGCATTCAACTAGCTAAGGATTCGTTAAAGATTGGATAAATACGTAGTTTTTAAGCATTTTGAGAGGGAAAATAAAAAGTTCCAAAATAGGCAAAAAGGGGAATTTAACAAAAAGTTCGAGAACCATACTAGACCTAACTGCGTTGACATCAAAGATTACACATCTTGAATTATCATGCCCCCATCTCATTGAGTCTATAATAAACTTGGTAGGCAATGCAGAACTGGAAAAATTCCGAACCTTCCAAATGAAACTAACCACTCAGTGAGTGGCACTCACATATCGTGAGATATCTGTTGATGCTTGTATGAGACTTCGTTAGTAGAAAAAGATGTAAAAATGCGTCCTCCAATATTAAAAAATTGTAATTTGTGAAAAAATGTCTGGTGGATTTTTGCACAGCAAAAGGGTACAATCATTGCGTTCTTCTGCACTAATATATATATAATCATACAATGCTTATTTTTAGAATGCCAATACTGACGATTTAGACTCAAAGAGAGCGGATCTTAAAGCAGCATATGAGAACATAAAGTTCATACAAAACCCACAGGTACTATGACTCGATCAATTAATTATATAATATATAGAATGATGATTAGCTTACTGGTCAAACATAGCTTGCATTTCAGATACGAATACACATATCGTATTTTCCGGCGAAGAATTCTACCCAGCTAATAAGACGAATGCAATTTTTAGCGCTAAAAAAGAGGGGCTTTCCATATATATTTCTCCGATAACACGGGTAGACAAATTGCTTCACCGTTGGTCAGTTAGCACTAATATGCATCAATAATTTTATATGGTTAGAATCAGGCCATGCTTAAACCCAAAAAATTGGGTCCAGAAAAGCAGCGACCTAATTGCCCGCCCGGAAATACGATAATTTAACACTACAGTGTTTGCAGGAAAAGTAACTTTATTGAATTTGATATTTTTTTGACAGTCTAGAACACGTAAACCTGAAAAAAGAAAGATAACCGATAACAGGGGAACAGACCCACTTTTATATAATGCAAATAATGGCACGGTGAGTTTATTCGAGTACAGAATGGAATATTGGAATATAGCAATCCACGCATAATTTGTTGCCTTTCCATTATATGTGAGTCGGGTACAATAATATATAGGATATTTATGTAACGATGGAACAGATATTTACAGATTTAACTAGTCCCTTTTGTAGTAATTGATGGCAGAGATGCATTTTTATTTTATTATGATGAATATTCGATGAGAGACTACATGCATTAAATATTAAACGAAAATATGGAATAGAAAGGAAACTTGTTACAGATTATCTAAAACTTAAAAGTTTTTCTTGGAACTTTTGGTGTTTGTCCATGATATATATCTATCGAGCAACCTCATGTATTGCTCATTAAAAACTAAGTAAATATACTGCACTAAAATTTTAGAATGAGGTCGGCGATTATGGATTTGTGGACGGAGAAGATATGCAGACAGTTATGAAACCACAGGTATTATCAACGGCTCATTTGGTTTATAGCTACAGAGTTTGTTTTTGAATTCTATTTAAAACAAATGAAGTATACAAAAATGATCAACTTTAAATATCTAAATTAAATTATTTGAAAATTAGTTTAATTATACCCAATATTTGGCGCTCCCGTAGTATGCAAACCAAGATGGCGGACACCGGAACATAGTATGTGTACCGGGTTAGAGTTAGGCCATAATTTTATCCCAATTTTAGTTCCATTACGAATTCGGGGACTAGTCAATTGATTACCGTAGTATTTGTACCTGAAATTATGGCCTAACCCTAACCTGGTACACATACTACGTTCTGGTGTCCGCCAACTTGAATCACATACTACGAGGGTACCCAGTATTTTCAATATTTGGAATTTACTTATTATTTTACGCAAGCCACCTGATGAGGTCAAACAAGCATTGGGGGAACTCAAGAAGGCAAGAAAATCAATAAAATGCGAGGTTACACATGACAACTCTGAAATCAACTATGAAGATATACAGAAAATAACTGATGAATGTGATAAAATAAAAGCTTGGGTGAAAAAGACCAAGGTAAGATTAGCTTTTTCGAACATCGTGTGCTACATTTATGTGAATTTAATATTATTTTTTTTCCAGAATCCAAACTTGGATCAAATTTCAAACAAACATCACGAACTTGAAGATTTGTTTCAGTCTATAATGAACAGTGCAACTAAAAAGGTTTGTTCTACACCAGTTTTTCTAGTTTCTCGTAATTTTCATTTTAGAATTAAGCTCTTTTTACCGAATCTTTTTACTGATTTTTCCCATTCCTGCCACTTACTTTCATCTCAAGTATGAATCATTTGTATAGAGAAAAACTGATTACGATACCGTAAAACAAGAAACGGATCCAAATAATAAAAACACTGATCAACCTTCCTCATCCAGAGAATCAACAAAGAACATATCAAACGTGAATAATTTTATTGTATTTCTACTTTGCCATCAAATTTGCAGCGTTGCTATTTTTCAACACGTGTTTCATGCTATCACAGTGCAGTTCACTATTGAAATATGAATTTTGAAGTCAAGATGGAATAATAGAGATAAAATATAACCAAAAAAGACACCTTAAAAGTAACAAAAACCCTACCCCTTTGAGTTATATATTTTGCGAACCAGTATAATAAATCCAAGATCAATACTCAAGTTCTGGACACAAAAGCTGAAAGAAAATACTATCGGTATCAAATATTTTACTGTACCTGTAGTATTTTCGACTTCGACTTACCAAAAGGTCATTGAATTGGGATCGCGGAACTACCACACGGTGCGCAATTGACGTCTTCATACAAAACTTGAAGAAAAATGGTTTGCATAAAGCCCGCACGAATAGGTAATAAATAATAACCTTATAGCGACAACAGCAGTCTTTATGCACTAAATTTCAAAGCTATTGGTCAAGGGTTTGTAGAAACGTAACTTTTTTTCATTTGATATTTTCCAATAACAGCCGAGAGCGAGTTCACCTTCAAAACAAAAACCAAGTGGTCGCGGTGAAGCAGACCCACTTTCTATTAATGAAAATTATGGCACGGTGAGTTTATACGAATACCTAATAAAATATTGGACTATAACAATTTAACAACGCAATATTTGTTGCCTTCCATTCCCGTTTGTAGTAATTGCTTTGCATTTTTATTACTTCAATAATATGAATACCCGATGAGAGGCTGCATTAAATATTGAAATACTGATTGAAATATGCAATTTGTTTTAGATTATCTAAAATTTTGGGTGTTTTTGCATGATATATATCTATCAAGCAACTTCATCTATTGCTATTTAAAATTAAGTGAACATACTGCTCTATAAGTTTAGAATTATATCATCAAAAATAAACATTTGGACATCGAAGAGACGCAGCCATTTATAGAACCACAGATATGAATTGTCAATATTGTTTGTAATGACTTTGGTTTATAGCTTCAGATTTTGTAGTTTATTACAAAAAAATAATAAACGGAAATGAGCAAATTCAAGTTTTTCAATAAAGTTATCGAATGAATGGTATATTAATGAAAATATAATATTTCACTCAAGCCATCAGTTGAAATCCCACGAGCATTGGCAGATCTGAAAAAAACAAGAAGATCAATAAGTGATCAAGTTATGAATGATAACTCATTGAAGATTAACAACGAAGAAAAACAAACTCTTCTAGATGGGTGTGATAAGATGAAGTTTCGGGCAAAAGATACCCAGGTGAAATTTGCTAACGTTTGCTAGTATAGGTAGAATTTTGTATTGTTTTAGGGAAGGAAATTGTACCAAGTACATGCCTACAGTATTCGTAATATTTTTCCGTGTTTACTATTATTGTAATGCTCATTCATGACCACATCGCAAACTATTCGCACTATACAACCCCCCAGCATGTTAAAACTGCGCGTAAACTAGGTAATATTTTGTTAATGATTGAATAACTAATATAAACACCTTTCAAAGGAAAGAGTGAACTATTTTAAAATATGTAAATGGATGAATGTATCGATAAAGAGTTGGGAATCGTTGGTTTAGCATTTTGGAACATCGTGTGATATTTATTTATTTTTATCTATTTATATTTAGTATTTTTTATTCAGAATCTAAGCTTAGAACAAATTGTAAGCAAACAGCAAGATCTGAGAGCTTTATTTCAATCCATGGTAAACCAAGCAGCAAAAAAGCAGTTTGTGGTTCACAAATTCTCTAGTCTAGTTTATACAGTTAGCAATTTCAGCTTTTCAGGTTTAGATCTATCCTTATCATTTTATTAAACTTCCCTATCATTTTATTTCCATTTTTAATTTTTTATATTTTTTATTTTCTCCCACTTACTATTTTACCTCATTTCTTGTCGTCATTTACTATCATTCAAAACATTATTTTATGTTCAGCGAAAGAGTTATCCCAACGATACAGTACTACGGGAAGCAATTCCAGAAGTTAAAAACAGTGATAAACCAGCATCCAAAGCAGGACAGTGGAACGTTCCCGGCGTATATAACTTTATTACCTACCCATTTTTTTAATACATTCGAAGCTGAAATTTTTATGCCACCTATTAAAGTCATTCACCCCGTACAAAGCTTTATAAAAGCAGTCACTGATATCTTACAATAAGCAAGAAGTTATTTTTTATTTGGAATTGTCCGGTTCGACATTGCCTACGCGATTAATTGCACCTTGGATGAGACATGGAATTTGAAAACGAGATGTGTAATCTACAATGCCAACACACTCCAAAGCCTGACGCTTTACCAGCTAAACCACCGGGCCTTAACTTGCTACCGCAGGTTCCATCACATCGGAGTACGTTTTATGCTTAAAAAACAGTCTTGAATAACAAGATTCAATGTTCGTAATAAACTATCAACAAAACTACCACCACAAGAGAAACACGTGTAGCATATCTGTAGCAAACACTTGTAGAACTGTGTGTAATGAATTCATATGCTTTATCCCGCCTGGACTTATGCACGTTTTATGTCGTTTCCAAGCGTGTCTCCCAAATTAAAATGTATCAAAGGCATTGGTTGCCCGGACAAAGCTAAACAAGTTTACTTAATATAACTTGGTATTATTACAAATACATATTAGAGTTTTAACCATTTTCCAACAGAAAGCGGCAACAGCAACAATGGGGCAATCAGACAGTAATAGTCAAACAGACTTAATCTCTGGTAATCATGTCAAGGTAAGTGTACTGAGGATACTGAATTTTAATCTAACTTTCATGGGTATGAAGGGTATGTCCTACTGGAAGCTGAATGTATTTTAAGAGGCCCAGGAAACTCATTTAAACTTGAATTCAACCCGTTACAGAAATATATTTGTGTTAGTGTGCGGCAAGACGCTTTTGAATCACTTAGAATAGTTATCTTCCCTCTTGCTGCAGTAAACACAACCTTATACACAAGTAGTTAGTTGCGCAGAAACCCAATCCATAGCACAAAGCATTTTATGCCAAATCAAGAGACGTTTCGGACTGAACAATCAAAATAACAATGTAAATTATTTGTGATCTAAGTTTAGTGGGGGTCTAAGTTTAGTACTTAGCTAAAACAGGGCTTTATATCTAATTTAAAACATCCTTTTACAGGTGATAACAAGTAAACCTACAAAAATAAAATCAAGTAATAGTCGTCCTGCAGATTCTGATCTTAAGGTAAACTTTGAAACGTTTCACAATACTACATAATGACATAAAAGTTCATTGTAACGTACATGATGATTGCCTTATTTTTTGGTGAACTCCTTCGGCGATGATTTTTGAACTCGTTATCTTTAGTCGGTTCTAGGAATATTTGCCGCCGGAAATTTCGCTGAATAAATCTCGCCGCAGGAAAAATCTCAGCATAGGAAAAATCGCCGCAAGAGTATTTTGCTGTAAATTAAGTATTTGTGATAAACACGGATAGGTTTATGAAATACTTTTTTTTTTTTTAAAAAGATTCATTATTTAAGAGCATACCCTATCCCTAACCATATCAATCTAACTGTTTCATCACAAATACTTGTTTTACAGCAAAATGCTCTTGTGGTAATTTTTCATGCTATCACAAATAGTTATTTTACAGCAAAATGCTCCTGTGGCGATTTTTCATGCGGTGAATTTTCCTATGCGACGAAAAAATTTCTTCGGGGATTTTCCGGACACGTCGTTATTCCTCACCCCCTATGCAAGATTCTGTTCTAAAGTAGAGCTAGGCAAGTCTTAGTTTGCGTCAACTCAATTAATAATATATTATACTTTTAAGTCGGCAGCTACAGAGTCAGATTCATGGCTGAATATGTTTTTGGAGTGTTTTCGTCCACAGTGTATAGAGCAGGTAAGCCTTACTATTTAGAAATCTGATTCAACCAAAAATTATTTTTGGGCATTTTTTTTAATATGTTATATGAAAATAGCCCTGAATTTGTCAGAAATTATATAAGTTAGTCTCATAAAGAGGTACTCCTGTAGTATGCGAACCAAGATGGCGAACACCGGAACGTAGTATATGTACCAGATAAAGGTTAGGCTATAATTTCAGGTACAAATACAACATGAGGCACTCGGCTGGTCCCCGAACTCTTATTGGAACTAAAAGAAGGGAATTTGGAATAAAATTGTCTCCTAACCCAACCTAGTACACATACTACGTTCCGATGTCTACCAAGTTGGTTCGCATACTACATAAGTACCCATAAAGAAATATTTCTCTTCATCTACGCCCCTACCTGTGTCAATCCTATTATACTATATACAATGTATATTGGTTATGTATTTCTATTACACAATTTTTGTTTTCAGGAAGAAGGAACGGGAGAAGATTCACCACTAGTGTCACAAACATAAGTTAACAAGATTTCTACTGAAGACGTTAATTAATATCGCACGCTCTCATGGGAGCTCATTGAACAGGAACGGGATAGAGCCATAGGAATTGATAATTATATAAAAAAAAGATAATATATGTATATATAAAATATATATCCCATATATAATAAATGCTTCCCATTTGAAGATTGGATCCGTTGAAATACCATTGAGCTAGTATATTGTCACTAAACTATAACCATAACTTTCAACTATAATCGTGTGAGCCAAAATATCATTTGCAATATAAATATTAAAGGACAATAACAAGCTAAAAAAACAACTGTCAATCATTTGCAATTATCAATATTGTATTAATTTTAGAACTTGTACTGATGTAAAAATACAATTTTTTTTTTAAATAATCTACCATTTGCAATTTGCTCTTGGTTACTTTGTGCAGAATATTTGATATTTGTAACCGCCACATGCTTGGTTTTCTTTCCATATTTGTTATCCCGCTATCCATTGTTTATAATTTAATGAAACGCATTTTAATATTAATTATACTTCAAATGAACAAGAAAGCAATGCTCAAATATATCGAAATCCTCAACACCGTTGTACAGGTATACAATCGGTGACAGTAGACTACCGGTATCAGCTGTCACAATTTCATGAAAATATTAAAGACAGTCATCATAATGTCATAAAACGTATTCCAAAATTTGAAAATTATACAGCGCGTTTTAGATGAAACATCAGATCAAAATTTAGAAACAAATAAGTAATAACCTTCTAGCAAAAATACAATTTTTAACCACTAAAAAGCAATTTAATACTTAAAGGAAAAATACTACCAAGAACAATAGTGTGATATTAAAGCGATCCACTTTTTTGTAAATCTACGATGCTGGCTAAAATCAAAATGCTTTTCAGTAAAGTAAGAAAATTACAAAATACGTTTTAAAACGCTAATATGCAGCATACAGCTTCACCCGTGGTAGTTCAAAGGTTGTTATAAAAGGTATTCCGATCAAGGTTTTGTACAAGCAATTACTTATACAACATTAGGAGACCTATCTTTATGAAAGCCGGAATCTTTCCGACCCGGTATTGCCTACTTGATTCAATACAACCTGTGTGAGGTTGTGGTCACGTATTGGAAGCCTAGAATTGTAACTTAGTCAAGTCTAACGCTCTAACCTTGACATGGGCAAATTACGGTCCGCGGGCCAAATCCGGCCCGGTGGGTAATTTAACCTGGCCCTCCATAATCAACGAGATTGCAGCAAAAATAAAAATCGTTTTCAACTGTATAACCCAGTGGTTCCCAACCACAGCGCCGCCGCACATTAGTTTGCCATGGAATGAATATTGGTGTGCCCCGAAAATATTTTATTTTTGACACCGGCATTCATCAATATTATGCTATACCTGTTACTAAATACATGATATGCTTTGATTTTGATGAATAAAATTTCCTATATCTGATCTACTTTGTTTTCAATTATTTTATAGAAAAGGCTTTATGAGTAAAAAATGTTCATGTTTTGTGATAGGTGTGCCGCGAATATTTAAAATGCTCAATAGTGTGCCGCGATATAAAAAGGAACCACTGGTCTAATAATTACATTGTAATCTCGCCTCAAGGCGCCATCCTGGTTCACACACTTCAGGAGTGCCGAAAATACAATATTACGAAATGAAAATACAAAAGCAATGATTGCGCATTATCAGTCGTTTGAATAATAGTTCGATTCGAACTTAGACAGCGAGAGCATGTCAGTAAACCATTTTTGTAAGTTATCATTAGATTTCAACATAATACTTTGATTTCGACTTTGATGTTACTTTTATATTTCACTTCCCATAGAGTTGAAAATATGGAACAAACTGAATTTTACTTTTTTAAAAAATTGAAATAAGAAAAGGAGAAAATTATTAAAATCGAACACTAAATGACAAGAGTAACCTACCATTTCATACTATCACACCAAAATATTTGTCTAAAAAGCCTCATTACTTAATTAATATCTATTCTAAAACAACCTTATTGAAACAAGTTCGATAAGAAGTAGACTTGTAAAATTCGTCTTGACTGGAAAACCAGTCCCATTGCTTACAATGCGCCCTTTTGTCAAACCAGGCTTGAATAGTCGAATTTTTTACCTATTTAAATGAATCATAAAACTATATTTTTTTAATATATTCGAAATCGATACAAGTTTAAAACTTCAAAATGAATTAAATATGAATATTAGTTCAAAATTTGATATTGCAATCCTTGAAGCCATTAGATTCTGAGACATTGGCGTATACCTTGCATAATGGTGTCCAAGCTTTTTCTTCTATGTTTTAAAAACATATTCTGCGATGGAATCAGAAATTCCGAGGTTCGACTAGGGCTTTAATCTTCATCAAATACCAACAATTTACAACTTAAATTGGACAATGATACCTCGAACCGAACCTTCCCACTCGAAACAACTCTGCTTGTCTCAGCCAAAACATGACAGACGATGCCTTCTTGTCTTTACGGAGCAATAATCAAATCAAATCACAAAGACAAACTGGTAAACAAATAGGTAATTGATTACACAAAACACGGAAAATCATATTACATATCTAAAAATTGTCTATGTGTATGATGTCTATGCTTGTCAATATCAAAATACAGGTGATGTAGCTGAGATTTGAATTCGAGACCATCTGCGATCTGCGATGTCAACACAGTCAGGTTATGCCGTATATAATTCGGATGGGTGAGTTTGAAGTATACGTGGCACGTTTCGCATGTTATATTCAGTGGATACTACGCGGGAAATTGTAGTGTTCTGTCAACGATACGTTATTTTCAACGGAAATTCATATCCATAAAACTACGGTTGTAATTTCAACGGTCACAAGTGCGCCAGATCAAATACTTCGGTGGGCCGGGTCGTAATCTGTCCACTCATTTGAACCAGTTAATCAGCATTGCACATAGACGGTGGGACATCTGATACATAAGCGATGCGTTTTTAGCTACACATCTCAAGTTGGTCGCACCAAGTGCAAGTTGGATTGGGCAAAACAAACATGGGAAATAAGTAGACGTAGAATATGTAATAGGGTCCTTGGCACGCCCACGACATTTTTCCCATTTTTGAAATCGATTTTCAGGCACAATTAGCTTTGAGAGTTGCTTGCTATATGTTTTGAACATTGTTTTTATGTTTTTAGCTTTTTAAATCGCGATCCGTTTTCTTTATTGTTTGTTGTGAGCAATAAATTTGAATGACAGTTTTCATCAGAAATTTATGCATCGTAACTCATTGTTTATCCAACGACCCCTAATAATGCAAAAGGCCGTGGGTGCAATTGTGCATGAGTGAAAATATCCATGGGTGCAAATGTTAATGGTTGCAATCTGTATGTGGCTGCAAAAAGCTGCGCGTGCAAATGAACGGGCGCATTTGTTCATGGGTTTAAATGTCCGTGGGTGCAAATGTATACAGGTAGAACTGTTCTTGGTTCAAATTACAGGTTCAAATGTACGGATGCAAATGTACGTGGGTTCAAAAATAATGGAACCATCTTCTTGCCTTCACGCTTGGAGCAATGATCAAATCAAAAATCACTAAGAAAACAAAAAGATAAACAACACACGGAAAAATCATATCACATATTTAAAAATTGTTAATGATGCTTATATGAAAATGCTTGTCAATATTATAGTACAAGTGATGCAGTTGAGATGTGAATTCGAGAGCATCAGCAATCTGCGATGCCAAGGCAGTCAGGCAAATAATTCGGATGGGTATGTTTGAGGTCTATGTGGGTCGTTTCGCATGTTATATTGAGCGGATAATACGCGAGGAATTACATTATTTAGTTTAGCAAACAATTCCGTATTTTAATCGATATTTTCAACGAAAATTTATATCCATAAAACTACTGTGGTAATTTTCAGCGGGCACAAGTGGGCCGGATGAAACATTTCGGCGGGCAGGATGAAACACTTTAGTAGGCCGTAATGTTTTGCCCACTCCTTAGCCAGTAAATCATTATTTCCAATGAATGGTGGAACATCTGATGCATAGGCGATTCGTTCCAATAGCTACACATATCAGTTTATTCGAGTTGTAGAATTGTGGAAAGCCAAGAGCGCTCACAAACAACCCAGAACAAAGCAAATATTTTTTGATTGGCCAAATTATGGGGAATACGGGGAGTAGTTTGTTTTGGTCATTAATCGCACTTCATGTGATGGCAATTTACTTTTTTCAATACAAAATTTGAAATTGAAAGCAAAAAATCAAAATTGCTTGATATGCTCACAATTAGAAAAATTATAACTTTCTAAATATGAGACGATAAAAGAAGCGCTGACCCTTTTGAATTCTCGATAATTGTGGGATACTTCAGAATGAATTTTAGAATATTTGAGAATTCAAAATTCCTACGATGGATAACAAAATCAAATATGTTCGAATTTTCATTGGTCTAAAAATATTCATTTCAAACATTTTCCCATTACCTTTTATAAGAAGAGTTACAAAGGTAAGGTGTGTCACAGTGGTTGCATCATGATTATAAATATAATTTCGACGTATCTAAGGGTATGAATAAAAAATCACTTGAAGTATGCGCACCAAGATGGTGCAGTCCCTGACCTCAGGTTGTGTACTAAGTTAGGGTTCAGGTTATGCGACATCTTGGTGCGCATACTTCAGGAGTACCCAAATAATAAATAATTGTTCGCACAGTCTCCCCAAGACAAATGTAAGTTGGGTTAAACAAAATATAAATGGGAAATAGGGTTCTTTGCACCCCAAAAACATTTTTCCAATTTTAAAAAAATATTTTCAGGAACAATCAGCCTTGGGAGTTCATTGTTATATGTTTTTAACTATGGTGTGATTATGTTCATTTTTTTGACAAAAACTCTGAAAATGTTGCGCTTTGTATACAACAATGGTTTGTTTGGTAGGTTCGTTTAAATTTGGGGAAAATTAATCGGTGAAAAAAGTCAAATTTCTCACTGAAATCGTAGAAATCAATTTGAATAGCAGTTTTCTTCACAAATTTATGAGTCACAAATCATTCTTTATTCGAGGGCCCCTAATAATGTCATAAGATCAATGGCAAAAAAAAAAACTATTTTTTGTGTCCAACTACTCGAAACCCGGAATTTTAAATAATATTATGGCCCGCGGTGTCACCCCTTTATTTGTAAACAGTTTCTGACTCAATTGAACAAACGCGCGTGGCCGTGTTAGCCCGACGACTCCGTCACCTCCTAAGATAGGGGTTTTCAAACTTTTGGTATCACGGAGCCGTTGAACAGATTAAATATTATTCACGAAACCCCACAATAAATTTTAAACATAAAAAAAACAAAACAACGCATTGTTGCTCGATGATTAATGTTCATGGGCAAGTTGAAATTACTTTACTTAATTCAAAAGCTAAACTTTTTTAATAGGATAAATACAAGCCATAAATAAATCTAAATTTCACAGATAAAATATATATTTAGCTGTGCTGGATTGTCCATTAGGCAAAATAAGCACGTGCTCAGGGAACCAAAGAAAATGGGACACCCCAGTAATTTCTATATACGAACCAGAATAGAACCGCAATAAATGCAATTATAATAAAATGGAGGACTGATTGACCACATCCTTCACGTTCATTAGATGATATTCCATCTGAATCCGGGGAAATAGGACGCGTGGCCTCGACATAGTATCAGAATGAATAAAAAGATACATAGCACACGCAATTCACTTCATTTCATCTTTAAGTCCTGGGGTAGCACCGATTTTGATCTGAGATGTTTTTTAAGTTTAGAAAAGAGGGTACCAGAGAGACGACGGTGGTTTTCACATTCACTAAATTGAATTATCTTAGCATTTTTTCTTAAAAACCTAAACTAAAATGAACCCCAAATTTAAAACTGGTTATTCACAAATTCAATAGATGAAGCAGCTCAGACAATAGTCCTAGATGAACGCTTTCAATTTAGGTATGAATATACCTGCTTCGAATCAACGAAGCGTGTGCAATATAATATTTTGGTGGTAATGAGCTTTTTCGTGGGCTGCTAAGCGCGACGTCGATAATCAAGTGAGATTCTAATGCACCCGATCCTCACCATTAGCTGTAGCTCAGGGGAGCATTGGGACTTGATTAAACATTAGGACCGTGGCTCGAACCCCACATGATGGATTGAGTTGTGGGGGTGGAGGTGGACAGGTTTAGGTGGACAGGGTTAAAAGGAGGAAAACAGGGCAGCCAAAGAGAGCAGAGAAGGAAGCCATGAGAAAGGATGGATGGAGTGATCGAAAATAAATCAGCGGTAATAATAATGCCAGGAAAATCTAGCGATCAGGGCGGAAGATAAGAAGAGCGAGAGTTAAAATTACGAATGGAAAAAGCCCAAAAGAGGAAAATAAAAGCGGAGCGACATAAATATAAAAGGAGAGCAGCGATGGAGAGAAAATCAGAATGTTATGTATAGATCGGCGACAGAGCCAATAGATCCAAGGATAGCCATCGTTAGGTAAGCATCAGCAAATATGCAACAAGGTTGAGAGTGAAAATTACGAATGGAAAAACATCCGGGACAACGCAGCACGACATTGCTTCTAATTAAATATCTTATGATAACAGCGATAACAGGAATACGGGTAGTCCACAAGAGCTTCGTTTACTTGACTTTGTTTCTCATTTCATAATACCCGCGGATGGAGTACAAAATTGCTTCTAATATCTTATGATAATAGCCTTCGTTTACTTGACTTTGTTTCTCATTTCATATTGCCCGCGGATGCAATACAACATTGCTTCTAATATCTTATAATGACGGCGATAACAGGATGACCGGTAGTCCACAAAATCCCGTTTACTTGACTTTGTTTTTCATTTCATGATGCCCGCGGATTGACGTGGTAATTTTGATAAGCAATGATTTTATGTAGTCGTAAGTCGACGCAAACCATAGATTACATCTAACACAATTAAGCCAATGAACAATGAACAGCATCGGTCATGAATTGCGCAAATGTAAATTGTACTCATTGAGATTTTCACGCCGACCTTGGGATTTGTGTAATGACGATATCTTGCTTAAAAATAAACTTGAGGACTGAAAATAAAAATTTCGACGAAAATACGATTTCAATCTATTTATATTTGGCAGTTTAGCACGTATTTGATGTTATTTTAGAATAATAATCTTTTATTTCAGTTATAGTAATGTTAATCTCAACTGGAGTACAATGAACTCAAATAAATTATTATGACAAGACATTATAAATATTGGATTGAATATTTTATGCAACAGACAACTCGTTATCCTATGGAGTCCGTGCGGAGCACTCTGAAAACCTATGTCCTGAGTCATATACTGAGTCATTCATTCGGCGATCTTTGACGTTCTATTCAGTTTGACAAGCTAAACAAGTAATTAACATATGCTTTCTCAACTTTGTTGACGCATCCACGCCGGCGCAATAAAAATCGAACTCTCTCACAAATTCGTCAAAATCCTCGTGGAGGTGCCACTATAAACTTTATTTTTTCCCCGTTACTTATATTTATGATTCACACCAAATTATCGAACCTGGCGTGCTCGCCAATTATGATGCAGCCTCTTTTTTATTTTTTTTAAAACGTCATCAACTACAGTGAAATTCGGAAGATCTCAAGGTTCGATAACGTCTTTATTCCTATCAAACAACAAATAGAAGATAAAGCGACACAGCAGACATAAAATGATCACGCGAAAAGATCTTTTCTTACCAAAACGCAAATCGATTTTCACCTGGTCCTAGCCAAAACGTAGAACACGACAACTTAGTGCGTTCTGATGCCTTGTTTCTGCCGGACCAATCAAAGCAATAACGAGAATATCGGTCAGAGACCGAGGACTTATCGATCAAAAGTTAGGGGATCCCCCAAAACAGCGCTCTCGAACCTTGTGTTCTATCACTAATTAATTAATAACTCGCTAATTATACGACATAATTTGCCCAAAATCAATAGGCTTCTGGTCCTAGATATGATGGATGCACATGACAAATGTGGAGCACATTCAATCTTGTTCAGACAGACAGACAGACAGACAGACAGACAGACAGACAGACAGACAGACAGACAGACAGACAGACAGACAGACAGACAGACAGACAGACAGACAGACAGACAGACAGACAGACAGACAGACAGACAGACAGACAGACAGACAGACAGACAGACAGACAGACAGACAGACAGACAGACAGACAGACAAATACCTATCAACATAATTTATCGTTTAAAATCGATAAGTAATAACACTCAAATTGGGAAAACAACTAAAATTCTTTTTCCACTTTTCTCTTATCTTGAATTCACATATACTCAATATCATTGGATTCTAATACTCAATAATACTTGAATACTTATTTTAATACTAATTCAAGTAAGATTCAATTATTTACATAAGACAATGATTATCCCGACAAAGATAAATATAAAACTTCTGCTTAATGAAATATTCAAAGATTAACATTACAGAAATAACGACCATATATTTCTAATGCATTTGGTAATCGGTAAAATACTGAGGGAATTCCATTCAATTGGGCTCTCAAAAACGAGCATATGATATTCGAACTTTGCGGATTCGTTGAGTACGATCGTTAATATCTCCATCCAGAAGATGGTCGCGACTCAGAGTCCCCTTTTTTCGACAGTTTGCCATTCTTTATGAAGTTTGTTCCACATTTCTGTACACTCCTTCAGTTTTTTAAAATAGCAATAAATAAGTTTATTATTATAATTCAAATCAAATTTTCATATGACTTACGTTCATGAGCCAGCATTCGACCTGGTTGCATTTCGCCCAAAGTTTTGATCTATCTGCCGCATCGTAATGAATTACCTTTCCTTCAATAACAGAGACAAGAATTTTCAGATCCTAAATGGAATTGTCAAGTTTATTTCAAGAATTCAACATGTTGAATGTAAAAAGCAAAAATAGGTTTTACCACATTATTCTAAAAAAAAAAGATTCTGGGTAAGAAATTTTATAAGAAAACATTGATTTCATCTAAGAGATGTCGGGTGCAAGCTGCGTCTTCTTTTCTGTACGGGAGTCACTAAATCTAAAAATAATTTATCTACAAACCTGACGTGTGCGTTTTTTACCATAATCTGTATCATTTCTCAGAGGCGTCGATGTTGATGCTGGTTTATGTCTCTCTGTTCCCATCTTTGTTCCCTACATTAACAATTTATATTTGTATATTGCTTCTAACTTTACTTTATACGTTGGACTTACTAGAGGTTCATAGTACAAATAGGCTAAGTCTTCGAACTTCTTGTATCTTTGTATTATAGATTTTGTGAAGTAGTGTAATAAAGATTCGACTTACTTTGACATAAATTGTCTCGCCATGAGGTGAAATTACCGCGTAAGTAGGTTCCAATGGATATTGCTTTGTATTTTTGCCGTGGTGTTGTTGAATATTGGTGGCGGTTGATTGCTCTTGCTGTAAATACTAAATAGAGAATTTAATTGAAATTGTTTCCGCAACATTTCTTGTAATTCTGAACTCTTTTGATTAACTAGTTGAAAAATAAATACCAATACGTAATGACTCATTGTTTAGAGCGCTGGACTTTTTGAACTAGGTTGTCATTGCAAGTTCTACAGCTCGGTTTAAAATCCCACGTCCGCAGCTAATCCGCTGTGTATTAAATTGAATATGCAACACCCAACTGGCAAGATTTCTTTTGGAATCTTCTACAGAACTTTGCTCGTAACAAAAGGTGCGAATGCGTCATATATAGTATGATAAATTTCAAAGCTCAGCAGTGTTGGCACTGAGGAAGTTTGTAAACTATCTCTAAGTATGTGAAAGGCCTCTGGTTTGAATCTGTTGTCTTCAGCTTCACAAAATCCGGTATTCCCAGCGGTCAATGCGTGAGTTGGTCAGTTGCGGAGGTTTGAAATATTTACCTCGGGAATATTAGACGTGTTAGGCGATACATATTTTGCACAAAAATATTTTTGCTTCTACAAAACTATAGCCCAGGGGTCGGAAACATTTTTGATCAAGAAAGCCATAAAAGGTACATATTTTCAACTGTATTTCCGTGCTAGCCATATAGCATTTTTTTAAATAATCAGGCCTAAATTTTTTACTTAAAAGTCAACACATACATTGTCGATATACATTTAATGTGACTTCTGATGCTGCATGTTGTCGCTGCGGGCCTACGGGTACTCACATGTAGCACAAGTTGACATATACGATACTCATCAAGTCATCACCCTTCGTTAGTTTAGGCATCTCCGTAGTATTTTAAAAACTATCTCTGCTAGTTCAATTTATATATGACAAATACTGTAACTAAGTTTTTGAATTACATCTGAAATGAACTTGACTGATATCTGTGGTTCTAATTTCCATCATTACTTCCACGGATAAATATGAATTAAATGTTTGTTTATTGTTTCGTCATAATTGATTTGAGATTTCAATTTTACAAAAATTTATGTATCGCTATATTTGAACTGCATGTTTTTTCATTTCTTGCCATTGTTGTAAACTGCTTGTATGAGAAAGTCTGACTTTGATCGGACGAAACGTCGGATACGTTTGTGTTAGTGTGCAACTGGACTCTTTAATTGGATATAATACTGTAACTAGGACGTATAAATGGACGAAACGTCTTATTGTGTTGCTCCGCGACATTATCGTAATGTGATGTCATAAAATATATTCCAGAATCCCCTAGTTTTATCACAATGCCTGGCTGGTAATTTCTTACATAACGTGGACATGCGCTGGGCGCACATTCTCACGTATTGGCCAATTCTGCCAAATTTGGTTATAAAAGAGTTTGAAATCTCGTAACAATAGTAAGCTTAGCCTTAGAATACTATTTTATACTATTTTTCTGGGAGCCATATCTCGTTGTTAAAAGAGCCATATATGGCTCGCGAGACATGGGTTCCCGACCTCTGCTATTAGCCGCTTAATACATTCCAGGGACTACTTGTGCAGTCTCGTTCAGGGCAAAGCCAAGCAATAATTCATAAAACGGGAAATAAATGGGACGTCAAAATCATGCAGATTACAAAATTAGAAGACGAGGAAACAGGACGCTAGTATTGTTTATGGGCTTTTCATTTCAGAAAGAAATTTAATTATAACATGCTGAAAATATATTTTATATGATCTTTCGCGGATGAAAATTTCAAAAACTGTTAGACTATTACAAGAGATTCAAGTGTCTTGCTGCGCACTAACACAAATATAATTCTGTAACGTTTCATCTGAGCAAAGACATTTACCCTACATTAAAATATATAGTCTTCACTGTTGCTACACCACCCTTGCATCATGTGCATACCGATCCACCGACCAAAAAGTATAGAAAAGGGGTAGTCACGCATAAATCCAATAAATAGCACTATAAACTAATTGTGTAGTCTAAAATGATGAGAAAAACCTTTCAAATGCATTCTGCCTGTTTTCTACGATTTGCAAGTGCACATCCAATAATACTTTTCTAACATACCGAAAATGAAGGTGAATGTGTCTTTGACGTGGTCTGAGTTTGACTAGTATCAATACCAACTTTTGGCCCGTTTCTGCTCTGCGCTGACATTGCCTGCAAAAGAAACAAATAAATCTATTTATAAGAAATATCACAAGTTAATAAGCCTCAAAAACCGACTATTATTGAATATTGATGAATTCATACAAATAATAACGTAAAAATTATACTACAGAAAGATCAACTTAATACATTTAAGTAGTTATAGCAAGCTGTTCAAAGCGAATATGAAAAAATGAGACCAGGTATACGTTTGCTATGTTATTATGCCCTGAGTCTAACCTCTTTATATTTAGGCATATCTTCTCTCTTCGGCTCGTAATGTTGTATTTGTCCGGAACTTTTGTTTGCTCGATTTGGCGTCAGAAAAGGAAACAAAACAAAAATCGTAAATTTAGTTTTTACCAAATTGCCATGATTGAGTTTTCAAAATCATACCTTGGGTCGTCTTTTGCTTGCGAAGGAACTTTCTATTCTTTCTGGTTCCGAAAACCGATTATTCACTTTATGTAAGGCGGGATCTTGACAAATGAAATATTGCATTCATTCAATGTTATAACAAAAATAATACAAAATTCCTTAATTTTTTTGGTTTCATTTAATAACCGTATTTTTTCAGCTTCTTTGCTACATATTTTGAAATTAGGATGAACCAAGTTGCCAATGTCCATCACATATATGATAGAAGTTTTAGAAGCTTTCTGCTTGTGGGAAAGAAATATCTTAGGTTGTTATAACAAGGTTATAACAACCTAAGATTAGGTTGTTATTGTTATCTAGAAGTTTTAAGCTAAATATTTGTGTGAACGACAATTTATTCATGAACTACCAATAAAATGTAACTCGGTTAAACGGTCAATTTTTAGACTATAAGTTAGTATATACGCTTGCGAGTCTTTGGTTGTGACTTAAGTTTTACACGAGTTTAGCGAGATATTTCCTCCAATAGTAATTATCCGATTATCCGATAAAATAGATAATATATTAATATACCTTATTGTAAAAATAGAGAATTTATAAAACATAAAACAAGCATACCAAAGATAATTGATTTCAACAATTACCTTTGTAGAGGTTTTTTCCTTTCCGGATGTCCTTTGAAATTTGTTTTCGGGTGTAGATTTGCCTTCTGCTGCTTTTGACTTTGCACTCTGAAAAACGAAAAATATATAACACTATTTCTAATATTTTGTAAAAAGCGTAAACTACAAAAAATGTATTTCATGTGACTCTGATTGAATGAGAATCTTAGTAACTATACTTCTATATATACGATTCACTAAAATGTTTCTGATAAAAACGATTCTATTACAGTCTACAAATTTTATACGTTTTTTGCATCATGAATTACTTACCAAAGGAGTTCTCCGTACAGCTTCTTTTGGCTTAGATTGACTTTGATCAATGTCAATGTCAGATTTTTGTTCATTTACACCTCGCGCTAATACAAGCTGCAAAAAATTTAACTTGTTTTTCAAAGGGATTATGACAATCTAGGCTAGGGCGAAATAGATATATTGTTAATGCTTAATTGGAGAAAAAAAACAAATATACCTAGAAAGTTATAATCAAAATGATACATGATGTAGCCGGGAGAGTACTTAAGTGCTTTTCAAAATATGGCTCTAATATGATTGGTGAGAGTAAGAGTAAGAGATTGAGTAAAAATTAATATCCTTTACTAGGCTTGCACGTAATTGACAAAAATCAATTCCGTAATTACGGCCAAATCGATTACGTAATGACCCCGTAATTGCGATATTTTTTCACACATTTAAACCTATCATAACAACTAGGGCTGGGCATTTCGAATCGAATATTCGAATCGAATAGTAAATTATTCGAATCGGTTCAGAGCTAAATTTCGAATCGCCGCCATCTTGTTTTTATCTTTCCGCTAATGGTCGAGGTGAATTCCCCAATTTATTTTTTATTGAAGTCATAGTTTTTCAACGAAATTCTAATTTATGACTATTTTCTGTTGTGAGTTATTTATAAAACGTGTTTGTTATTCTGTGTTAACGCTCAGTAATCTATCTGAGTGATTTATTCTATGTCTTCAGTAATTTATTTGTTGAGAGGACCAATTACTATAATAAAGTCGCTTACAATTACATATTTTCAAGTATTCGAGATTCGATTCGATTCGAAAAAATTATCCGATCCGATTCTGAAATCACAAGGTATTCGAAAATGCCCAGCCCTAATAACAACCAATTGAATCCACTTCTATTCCGAATGGGACATCGAAGTTTGGTTTTCATATTCCCGGCAGTACTACACGCCGGAAACAGATGTTAAAGACAAATATCAAGGAGTGAATTCAAATTAATTTTATTCTGATTTTTATCTTTTGTGTTAGCTTTGATTTTCCTTTATCACCCAATTCCATGCGATCAATTTTATCATTACCAACACTGGTATACGGATATTTATGAAACGATAGTTGACTTTTTAAAATCGTATTAAATTACAGATTTATAATTTAATAATCAGACTAGTTATTTCACCGTTTTTTTACAATATCCGACTTTACTACTTAGTTAGAATTTTATAATAAATATTGATGCTGACTTATTGACGATATTCCAATTACCATGCTTCATTTTACATTAAATCATTTCGCGGCCTAAATGTTATAACATTATTTGCGATAAATTCAGATCAAATATTGATTATTTGCGCAAAATTTAAATACCGTACTTATATGACATGCCTTCTCCGAAAATACAAAGTTATATCGCAAAACAATGCATTTCGTGACATTTATTTTGCACTCACGAAAATATTAATTTATTTTTCTAACTCACCTCGACAATCCTATCGGCCAAGATTGACACAAGTTTGGTCGAGTGCCGGCGGTATTCGAGTCGACGATAAATCAAAATAAGTTGCCGCTTTCGGTAAAGACAGTTAATCATATTTGGCCGTAATATTGCGAGGTATTGTGAAAAACATATTGAGCAAGGCCACGTCTGGACAGATATATAACGATAAATCCGGTAACAGAACATCAAGATTTTGTAAGAGAAAATGGTTCTCGCGCAGAATAAACACGGGAAATCCCGTCGTTTCGTTTTCTCTGCCGTCTCAATCGATTTACCGATGCCGAAAAAACTACCAAGTAAGTTGCGTTGGTTTAATACGCAATTTCTCTTCCGTCGTCATATTGTTGTTTGATAAGCGCGAGTGACTTAGGGGTGGGCAAAATCGAATGTTTTTTTCAAATCGAATAATTCGAATATTTTTAACGAATACCGAATAGTCGAATAACGAATATTTTTAATACACAACAGGAGGTCCAGAACGTCGGTCGATACTCCCTTTGGCTACGAAGCGTTTTTCACTGGTTAATTTTGTCATAATCGCTGATTGTTTTTGTAATTGTCACGTAAACGTTTTTGCGGCGATATATAATCTATATTACCGCCCTTTAATATGTTTTTTGCAAGTATTAATTCTTTCGGGTCGGCGGACATCGAAGTTTGATAATGTCACGCCCTATTTATCAGAGCAAAAATGCTCAAAATATAACGAATGTAATCTTTTCCGACGATACAACAATTCGTGAACGAGACGCGTTGTTACATCGAAATTCACGATTGATTTTACGTTATGATTTCTACACTCCACCCGCCACGCATGTCCGAGTGAAATGTTTACATTTTCGAAATATTACTTGGTCAAGAATGAAAGGGATCACTAAAGAATTAATTTGAAAGTACATTAAAAGAATTATGTCCTGCCATTTCTTTACTGGTTATAGCTTGTTTGTGTTATACTATGTATGGTTTCATGCGAAAGTTATTTAAACTTTTAATTTTCGTTAAACAAATTTATGTTTGGTTCATGCATGAAACGGCTAATCACGTGCCGCCAATCGTACGGAGTTTAAAATCTGGGATATTTATTTTAAATACCTCATCCGATTTGACGTTTCTAAATTTAGGGAACGGTGTCGGTACCTTGTTTTGCAAAATATGGAATTGAAATGAACGATTGAAACGCAAAGAAAACAAATAACACCACAACGCAAAGACGATTTTTCAAATTTGTCGCTTTTGTCTGTTAGCGAGCGTTGTAAGTGAATTCTCGCGCAATTCACGATCGGTTCAGAGATGTTCTGTGTCTAAGCGAGGCGGCGCAGATCCCGTGGTACCCGATATTCGAATAGTAAAATGCCATTCGAATAATTTAATATTCGATTCGCTATTCGTTATTCAAATATTTTGCCCAGCCGTAAGCGCGACATTAATTATCACGGCATTTACAAATAGACCATGTTTATTAAGTTGATCTCTTACATCCGTTAGTCATTTCACCCAAAGAAGTTGAAACCAGGTGTGTTGGCGTCCATCGGTCTCAACACAATATTATCCCTTATCTACGGTTAATATGTACTTTGGCCATGCTAGATAAGTTGATAATAGGTTAGTAAATGGCAACGCGTTATGCCCTCCCCACCTGCGTAACAAGAGAGAGAAAAACGGCTGCTAATACCGGAACTCTACCTTCTTCTACTTATTAAACTTAATTTTTTACAATCAACGGAATTGACTGCTCTGAGGAGAGCTCGTTTCAATCGCGAAAGCGCTCGACCAATAATTACGACTTTACGTAATTCGTAACTTCGCTTCCGTAACTCGAAATAATTCCGTAATTCCGTAAATCCGTAAATTACGTGCAAGCCTATCCTTTACATATACGTCTTATCGTGGACTAAGTCAAAACAAAAGCTAGAAGAAACTTTTGCGTCGTTTTCGAGCATGATATGTGCTTGTCCGATTGTTCGTGTTCACGGGTAGCACGTCATTTCTCTTTATCATATTTTCAAATCTTCGAGTTTTATGTCTGTAAGTATTCGAAAGATAAGTAACATACGAAGAGTCTGTTCTGACTTGAAAGAAAAAAATTCGAGCGCGCGAGCAATCGTTTTCGGCGCGTAAACGAGCTAACAATGATTACCAGCACAATAATAAACAAACAATGATTGCGCTTGCCCGATATTTCTCGCGAAAACATGCGCTTTTTGTATCTTGAATATCTAGAGTTCCACGCCGTCTCAAAAGGCAAGTTTGAACTTGTCTGGAAGCTGTCGTAATTGTCTTTTTCAAGAGACATTGTTGTCAAGTCGGTTTCGCTCGGATTGATCACACCGATACCAAAACGAAACTTTTTTCAAGAATTTTTTTTTATCTCATTTTCAACGCAACACTGTTGAGCGGATAGCACACGCGTCTCGAGAAACGGCTTGCATGAACCAGCGAAATACCGATTTCCATTGATATCTAAGTGAAGGTTCTCGCACGTTTGAACAAAAAGTTGGGACATTTTTTAGGAGGGCTATACAAAATGCACCAGGCAAATGTCGGCAACATAGAGTTGAAGCATAATTATTGAAACAATAAAATTATTAATTTCACACAACTATAATTGATATACATTTTTTTTTGTTCTAAAGATTTTCTAAAACTTGTTTGTAAGCAAATTTTGTACTGCAAAGACAGCAATCAAACTTCCAAAATCGTTCTAAACTATAGAATTATTATTTAATTATTTTTTCCAATTTTATTATATTGCCTTATCATTTTACCGGTGTGATCGTACTGGGGTGTTTTTGTTTTTCTCTCTCACTCATCTGAATAAAATAAAGAATGATAAATGTAAGTTTATTTGGCGATAATATTGATAGTATTGTTTAATATTTCAAATCGAAATCTCTCCAAATACATTGACCGCGATTCAGGCTAAAGCTAAGTAAATTTATTTAATGTCATATTCTATGTCTTTTTTAGATGTTTCAAATAAAACATAGAAACAATTATAAGTCCATAAGATATAAAACGTGAAATATTTACCCGAAATATTTCCTATGTATTTGTAGATAAAAAATAAAAAAGGGCAATTATACTGCATCGTTATGCCCTCCACATATATTAAAACAAAAATGTTTTATCAGTTCCAAAAATGTATTCAAATTTTATTATTAGCGTATAATTATAATCATAATATATAAAGTTATCAAAAGCGTTGGTTATTGTATGATTGCTGATACTAAATCGTACAAGCGAAACAAAAGGTTGACATAAATTAAAGCTAAATAATAGAATAACTTACTTGAAGTAATCTTTCAAATATGGGTTCACAAACTTCAATTATCTGTTGCAGCTTTTTGCGTATTTCTATGCTTGTAACGTTCTAAATTATCACAAATATTTACATTGTTCATTTACCACGTTTGCCAATCCTTTATTACTTCAGCCTTTTCCAGTTTTTTTTAAATAACGTTTTTCACACAGGATAAAATAACAGCTTCGAATTTGCTATAAAAAAATTATTTAATTAACTTGATTTATAGTGCCTAAAATATGACCGATCATATAATCTTCCTATTCGCGCTATTCACGTTTACATAATGCCAGATTCAAGAATTGTCAAAATTGGATGGCTC